CAAAGACACGTTGTTTCTCTGCAGCTTTCTCTACCCTGGGTGGTGAAACTTCCTTTTTTTACTTTTTGTCTTTGACAGAGCAATGAAGATTTTCTTCATTACTGGTGCCCAGCTGAAATCACATTGCCTAGGAGAAAAGTATGACTATAATTTTCATATGCACAGCAGTTCCTCACTTATCAATTGCTGCAATGCAGTAGCAGTCTGCTTGTGGACTGTCCAGCTTCTTTTCTACCTCCAAGGGACCAGGCGGTAACAGTCCACATGCCCTAGAAGGAGGAATTCATTTTGCACTGCAAATACTGTGCTATTTCCAGTTGCACTTTCCACTTTTCCACAGCCTAAATTGGAGAAAGAATTTTTCTTTTGTCTTATGAAGGCTGGAAAATATGCACTCTATGGTTGTCACAGTAGACTTCTTCTGTCTGCAGGGGGAAAATGATGATTTTATCGTTCTTTAAGCTTTGTCCTCATTTCCAGAGTGAGACTAATCTTAGCCCTAAAGCCTTGAATTTCTACCCGTGATCCTCCTAGTACGTCTCTTGTTTCCCTTCTATTTCCTAGTGATTTCCTTTCTTCATTTCTTTCTAATTTATTGTAGCTAATTTCCATCTCATACACAGTTTCTCTGTAACAGCAGTAGAGATGCAAAGTTTTTACATCTTCTGCCTCTCCACTGTATCCTCCTGCTTTTTCTTCCAACACTCATCCTCCCTTTCATGTTTTCTCCACCAAATCCTTTTGATGATTAAAGCAGACTGACCATGTTTTCTCATTCAGGATTGGAGTGAGAGGTTGACTCCACTCACCCCTTCAAGTATGGGTAGAAGAACAAGTCTTCTCTAGTGTTCTTTCCCTGCAAACATACAATAGTGAAGAGACAGCGGTGGAGAAGATGTTGGTCTTATTAACTACTTAACATTATCTGAGGAGGCTTCCTCCTTCCTGAAATATATCATGTTTGCTGGGATTAAAAAAATGCTCAGCTGCAAAAGCCTCTCATTAGATGTTGTTAGTATACTGAAGCTGTATGATTTAAAACTATGAAATGGGAAAATTGAAAAATTGCAAAATACTCCTTTCCCATTTACCTGAAATATCCCAAAGCCCCAGTTAGGAACTTCCACCAGATGTTCCACTACATATATTTGTATATGCATGCATGTACAAGGGCTTCTTTTTTCAGTAAGCAAACTCCAGGGCAGGCACATCCTATCTCGTTCCTAATAACCTCAGTATAATGAATATGATTTTATAGAGAAACATGGTTCCTGAAATGTTGAATTTTAATGTTGGGGAATGACTCCAGTGCCTAAACTGGGCATTAAATGCCATTTTAATCACTTGGTCTCTGACTGCCATTCTAGAAGGGTGTTGGTCTCCTACAGGTCTTATATGATACCTGAGTGCCCTGTACCCAGATCACAAGATACCTTAAGTCATCTTAAATGACACTAGATGTCTATGTTCAGGTACCTGAACAATTCCATAGGTTACTAGACCCAGATATATACTATTGATTGATTAAGGAGGTGTCAAACTCAATAAGGCCAACCTCAGAATGATAAGCGTCGTTGCCTTCCAATTAAATAATTTTTACCACATCATTAGCAGACGCTCTCTCTCCTTTTTTGCTATTAAAATTCAGAAATTTGTGTTGGCTGCATTTTCCATGCCCTGCCTTCTGCATGTTTTCCATTTACTCTCGTGGCCTGGAAAAAACATTACTAGCACCTCAGGAACTATGGGCACAGTAGGCTCTGCAGAGCAGAGATGCTCCACATAGCTGACAGCTTCAGAGTCTGTTTCCCATGCCCTCCAGAGACCAGACTTCATCATTTTTGTCCAACCACAAAGTTCAACTCAGTAGATTTCTGTTTCTTTATAGACTATTTTCCATTATCATCATTACACTGTACACAGTTGCAAAACAATAAATAACAGGGTTCAACAGTTCTATGACTTATATATGAAGAATCCTGGCTATTGGCTTCGTTTTGACATATTTCATTAGTTCCCTGCATTTCCTTATTGGCTATTATTTGCTATCATGTGTACATCATGATGTTTTAAAACTGTTTTGCTGCATTATATTATATTATTATATTATTATATTATATATTTGTGTGTCTTTCTGGTGGTAAAGAGTTTTATCATTCATCGCTAGTACATTATTACATTTCTGAAATGGAATATTTCTGGTTTAAGGTAATCTTAGGATTATTTGCAATGGTACCGTGATCCACTTGAATTTGAATCAGTCATTGATTATTAGAACTGATAGATTATTATGAATCAGTCATGATTATTAGCATAATCATTGCATAATCACAGCATAATCAAAGCATAAACTTTGACTACTGAATGGCTGGCAGTCTCTTCCTCTTCAGCATCTATGCATCCGGATTTTTGGATCTCCTCATCTGTGTCATCTCTGCCACTATGCAGATATACTCCTTTTCGTTAGAAATCATTAATGCTCAGTTATTGTGCGTGCTGATGCTTTTTTTCCTGCAGTAGCAGTGGCACTGAAATATAGTGTAGTTCAGTTTTAGTACCAGCAGTGGTATAATGGGTTAGTTTTCTTCTTTTTTTTGTTTTACTTTATGCAATACATATATTGAACTCTAGTGGTTGCTTCCTTCATAAATCTTTCTCCAAATTCATAAATTCTTATATGTTTGCCTGGACACTATAGGAAGAGAAGTGTCAGCCATGTTGCCAGTCTGTTGCTCCAGCTGGTAACAGTGTTTCCTCAGCCCTGGGTATATACCCTGAGCTCAAAAGATGAAGGTGCTAACAGGCAGATTTTTTTTTAATACAGCAAACTCCATTTTGGTGGGTTTCATCTGATTAAATAAAAAATGTTTGTGCCACTTAAGAGTTGTGTTCTGTCCTTTTCGTGTAGGATTCCGGCAGTTCTTGGCAATCCTGATCCTTTCATGGCTGAGTAGCTTCCTTTAGAGAAATAGCACAGGAGTCTAGGATACAGACAGTGTAGACATTAGAGTAACGAATGTGGAGAAAAGAGGGGTGTAGACAGAAGTTACCAATATATAGAATTCCTTTTAAGAAGGGAACATTTCCCTATGCCCTCCCACCCCCCAAAAGCAAGCAATGAAAACCCTTACTATTATTTTCTCATCCTTATTTCCCTGTTCTTTTGCCTTATGGGATAAGTTCTTGCTTCTGTGCTTAGCAGTAACTTTTTCTCAGAAAACTCAGCATCCCTAATGGTCTAAATCTCTCTATGTATGTGATGAGTTTTTTTCCAGATGCTGCTTTATTTTTCTATTAATCATACTTTCTCCCTTCCTGTGGATTGTACTGGAGTTAAACACTTCCATGGTTCAGATGATTTAGTGACATTTTCATTTCTGAAACAGCTGTATCGGTTCAGTATGTTAGGATGAAATTAACCTTGAAAACAAACAGCATGGAAATGGTGGTTGGTGAGGAAGCTTTCTCAATGTAAAATGTCCTATTTTGATGTAGCAGTAGTTGTTAGGTCACAGATGATCTCTAGAAAATGCCAGTATTGTATTTCAGTCTTTGATGTTTGCAGAATTGTTGTGCAATTGCTAGCTTTTATAATATTTGTTTTGTAAAACTCAATTTTGCCACATTACAACGTGTCTTGTTATCTGAGAAGAGTCTGAGAGAGCTATAATTCAATTGATTTCGAAAACAAAGGCAATGCAGGAGTGAAAAATAGAAATCCCAAATAATTGCTGGAATAGCAAAGGTTACCTACTGCTGGATTCTTTTAATTGCTGCATTTATAGTTTGCAAGAACTGGTTGAAACTACACTACAAGTCTTCCCTAATTGGTAGGTTTAACAGAAAAGGGAGGAAAGTTCCCAGGAAACACTGTAGTTATCCCTCCAGTAACAGTGGCCTGTAAATGCTTTCCCGTGCATTGAAGTTGAGCCAGGGAACCCACAGGTATATTTTGAGATTGTAACCCAGAGTCAGCTTGCTGCAGTGAGATGGAACAATTCCTGGAGGAAAAAGTCCCATGAGCTGAGGAGCAGCTGAAGGGTTTTTAAGTGAGCTGTGTTAATGAACATTAGCCATCTCTGGGTAGTCTGAGCTAACTGTGTATGTTCCACAGTCAGTGGAGTGATACAGGAACTGCAGCAGTTTCCCTTGTCTTCAGATAGATATTCAAGCTGGATGAATTAAATCATCTGATGCCTGTCTGAATACCTATTTTTCTCCATGGACTATAAAGGGAATTTACCCAATTAACTTAGACTAGAGTCAAACTTTTAGAAGACATGTTTTCTCTTGCATGATAAAGTGCTTAGTCTTTTGCTTTGATAGCTAAAACTTGAAATATTTTCAACTTGCTATGCGTGTTTTGTGCAGAAATAATAAACGAAAACAAAGTAGCCACTGCATGAAATGCATATCCTCATCTGCACATGATGATAAATTTGGGTATGTTTCTTGCCAGCTATGAGGACTAGCGTGAGTTGGTATTATTAGCTCTGGGGTTCTGACAGGGAGTCCATCCAGCAAACATGAACCTATTGGATAGAGAGCAGTCAGCAGTGAGACAACTCACAACTCAGCCAGTCCTTCAAAATTATTACTGGTGATATTATCTCTTGGCTAAGACCCAGTGACTTACTGTTTTTGTGTGTGATCCCTGTCCAGTTTCATGCAGGATGAAGTAGGATAGCTTAAACTACCATCAGAACATACTGACTCCTTCTTAAAGAGAACCAATTGCAGAGAATGTTGCAACTACAGCTAGCATTCTTGCCACAGTGAGCACACATTTATTTGCTGGTGCTTTTCCAAGCAATTTTTTTCCCTCTGACTTGTTAATAGATCTAATTTTCAGAAGATCATGTGCAATTATCTGAATGAGGTTATAGAAGAACGTTCTGTGACCTTGATTTGCAATATACCTGTATAGTTGAGATTAAACAGAATTTTGTTTAGCTGTTGAATGCCCTTGCTCTAATCTGATTTTGGTTTTTTTTGAACAGATGATGAACCAGATGATGGTGCCAATCATTACTTTATAATTTTGGATTTCCACAACCCTCAGCTACTGCCTGTGCTGTCTGAGCTTGGGATTAATGTTTCAAGTGTAATTAGGATTTCTTCTGAGAATTATGAACCCCTGCAGATATACTTGGAAGAGGCTAAACTTCAAGAAGGATCTTTACTTTCACTTGAAGGTAATCTTGTGATAAGAACATGTATCTCACAACATTTGTGTAGAAAGAGGACTATTTTATTTCATGTAAAGACAGTTCCTGCTATGTTTTCACCTCTCTCTGTGCCTTGTATTTGTGCATACTACATGTGAGCAGCTGGGTTTGCCAATGCAAAAATGATATAGCTGACCAGACTTGACTCTGCTAGCTAGCAATAGCAGGGACTGACTAAGCAGGCAATGGTTGCAGCTATAGGTCTGTGCAGTATACACCAAAACACAACATTTTATCAAATCCATAATTTTACACATCATTAGCCTGGAAGGTTTGTTGCTAAGCAAACTTGAGTCATTTGGTCATTTTAAGATAAGGGCACAGCTGGCCACGTTGGGGCTGTTGCCCCAGCCAGAAAAGAAGGTGTCACAGAATAACAACTTGCAATGATACAGGCTGGGGACTGGCTAGCTGCATAGCATCTCTGCTGAAAAAGGTCTGGGAGCTTGGTGGACAGCAAGCTAAACATGAGTCATTGATGAAGGCTAGTCATATTGGGCTGTGTTGTTTGGTAACATAGCCAGAAGATCAAGGGAAGTAATTATTCCTGTTACTTGGCATTCATGAGACAACAATTTTGGACTCCACAGTACAAGAAAGGTACTGTGAGGTACTCACTCAGATAAAACTGAGTGAGTCCAGCAGAGTCACCAGGATGGTAAGGGGGCTGGAACATTTGTCCTATGAGGAGAGGGTGAAAGACCTGAGCTGCTTTTACCTGGAGAAGAGAAGGCTTACGGGGCACCTAATATTATCCTTGCAATACCTATGAGAGGATTATCAAGAACACAGAGCAAGACTGTTCACTGAGGTGCATAGCAAGAGAAAAAGAGGTGATGGTCATGAATTGAAGTTGAAGGTTTTGATGAGACATAAGGGGAAAAAAAATTACCATGAGGATAGTCAAACATTGGAACAGGTTGTTCAGAGAGGTTGTGGGATCTCTGTCTTTGCAGATCCGGGTAAGCTGGACAAAGCCCTGAGCCACCTGGTCTGAACTGCATGCTGACCCTGCTTTGAGCAGGAGATTGAGGTCCCTTCCAGCCTAAATTATGTTTTAGCTCTTAGGTTAGTCAGGTGATAAAAAGCTGGAAATGAGAAAAGCTCACTGATACTGCTGTGATGGCACAGGCAATCCAATAAATGTCCTGGGTATGTTGGGCAGGAAAGAGAGTTATGAGGATTGTTGATGTTGGTGTGCTGACAGACATGCGATGGGATGCTGTGACCCATTGCCATTCTAACCATGCTGTATGCAAACCATCTACCTGTGTGAGTGCTGTGAAGACTGTCTTAGGATTCTCCTTCCCTCCCATTCCTGATGACCAAAAGAGATACTCTCATATAGTCTCATGGCAAATTCTAAAGGCTGGATTGTGTGGGCACTAGGTAATTTGGCCTTAAAGGTGGCATCGAAGGTAAACTAGCAAGATCACTAGCAAGATCACATAGATTTAGTCCTTAAGAGTTATGCCGTCACAGAACCAACTGATGGACTCAAAAGACGAATGTCATATTTGAATTTGTTTGACATGCAGATCCCTGGGAAAAGAATGGGAGGAGATATAATTTCCAGTTTCTTATAATTTTGGTAGAACATGCCAAATTTCAAGGTAGTCTCTTATTAGAAAACAGAAGAAAGTGCAGAGGGCAAAAAACATGTTTTTTTTTTTAAACTTCATTTTATTTACAACAGCTGCTGAGGAAGAGGGGAGTGGGGCAGGACAGGGAGGGTTTCCCTGAGCATTTCCAAAGTTATATTATCTTGTTCTTTCCCTTGTATATGAAACAGCAGGGAAGACTGGTACACTTAGAGAGTTGGTAAGATCTATGAGGAAACTTTTTTAAGGGAAAAAGGAGTCCCTCAAGTAAGTAACACTCTAAGTAGTAATGCAAGTTTTCCCATTACTAGGAAAACAGCTTGGCTAACACATATGTTCTTTGTGGACCTCAAATATTAGGAAGCATATAAGAATTAGAAATAAGTCAGGTCACTAAGAATGGGAATGTATGTTTATTATGAGTCTACTGGCACAAAATCAGAAAGGCCAAGGCACAAAATAGGATGCAAGAGGAGGGCCAAGCAAAATGTTTGTCTACTGCTCAACAGAGAGGAAGAACTGTCAGGAGATGGTTTTGAGAAGGCTGAGAGCGTTTGTGTTTAATGTTTTGAGAGTGTTTTTTATACTTCTTGTTGGCATGTGCGTTGTGGGAAGTTAATCTGTTTTCACTACAAATACCAGTTGCAGACAGGTGATGGTTACAATTAAGCACAATTAATGCTCGTAACAGAGAAATAAGATACCAACTTCAAACTGTGGGGGAACAGGTAGAATAACTGAATACTGCTTAGGTAACGTAGAGAAGTTTTTAGATCAGCTGATTCAAATTAACTTCATTGTATCCTATTTAAAGATCTGCCTGCCATTCTCATTTATATTTAAGAACTCATAAAGAACAAGTGAGATAGTGGAAAAAGAGTTGAGAAGAAGAGGGGAAGGACCACAAACAGCCAAGGGGCAATCAGCTGAATTTCTGTTTCTGCAAAAATACTGGAACAAATGCTTTATAGCCACTTAAAAGAAAAATGAGGAGATGAGTAACAACTAGTATATGTTGTTAAGAACAAATCATGTCAGACTATTTAATTTCCTTACACAATGAAGTACTGGCCCTGTTGAGCAGAGAAGTAGTACGTGTAATATATTTGGATTTTAGTAAGGCTATTAAGGCTATTGCACGTGACCCACACTGAGCAGGGTAGATCTAGATGAAAATAAGTATATAGTAGGTGCAGTCTCCTTGGAAAACTTTAGCTTCTACAGTGTAGCTGTTAAAGGTTTACTGTGAAAATACAAGGATGCATGGAGTGGGATTCCAAGTGAATTTGTGCTGGATCCGGCATGATTTGATACTGTCACTGATATTGGAATAAGAGTATGTGATTAAAATGCAAAATGATCTTGACAGAATGGAGAATAATGATCTGGACAAAAGAGTATTCTGTTTAATATGGACAACTATGAGGTAGTATGGTTATACAGGAATAATTAAATGTACAAATACAGGCTAGGAAACACCTGGCTAGATGACAGGTCTGTAAGATAAGCTATTATGTTGCCTTTGCAAATTGAGCATAAGTCAGCAATATCATTATGCCACTAAAAAAAAATACCATCTGCAGATTATACCTGCAAAAAAATACCTAATTATACCAAAACAAAAAAAAATCTGAAATAATCTTATCATACAACTCAACAGTGAGGTAGAACCTCAGAAGAAATGTGTGGCAATCAGAAGATTCCAAATGATGGCAAAGAAAATGATTAGCAATCCCTAAAACTAGACCTATGGAAAAAACGGAATAAGTTGTTATCCTTAAGTTTAAAAAGAGAAAGCTGATGGAAGTGGGGGGAGACATGAGAAGCCTTCATATATATAAAGGGCTAGGACAGAAAAGTGAAGGGTTTAAATTGCAATAGAGAAAATCCAATTTAGGAAGAAGAAACTTACCACAAGTAAAGTTGAATACTCGCAAGCCATGGATAAGGGACCACAGCTTTCATGATCTTTTCCTTCCCTGGTGTCTAATGACTTTCATTTTGTGAAGTTACTAAGTCAAGCACTGTTAGTATCCTTTCATATGCTTAGTTTTCTATTCCTCTGATTACTCAGGTAGCTTTTCCACTATTAATTCAGCTTTTCTGAGAGCTGATGTTCAGAATTGAGACCAGTTTCACAGTCTGACAAAATGGAATTCATTTTTCTCTGTCTGCTGGAAATATCTAAGCTGACACATACATCATAGTGATCCTAGAATTCCTGTTTTCACAGTGATGGTACAAAATTACTATATGATTTATTAGTATATACTAGATGCTTCTCTTCCAACATTTTCCGTTAATGTGACTATAAAAAGGGGGTTTTTTGGTCCAATGTAGTGTAGAGTTGAATACTTTCTCATTTCGGTCACTGAAGACTTCAAGGTTATTCAGTTCTTCTGTGGGGTTGTCCCAACTCCCTTCTTCACTGGCAATATCTCCCAACTCCTGTAGCTTCTTTTGGGGTTACTTACGAAAACTTTAATTTGTTCCAAGAGGGTTTACAAGGGGAAAACACACTTTAGGAAAGAAATGCCTTAGAATGACAGGCATAAGAATGGGGAGGTGGGGGCAGCATTCTAGGGCCAGAGCAATGCGAGTGATTGATCCTGGGTAGCTGTAATGTTTTGTGAAGGAGAAAACCCAATTCTTAACACATATTTTCATGTGTTTTTTATTACTTAAACTATGGGCCAGAGTTAGTAAAACATTATCATTCTTCTACTGTAAAACAGGACTTTCTGTCTGTAATGTTACTAGCACAGTGCCATTCATGTTTCATTCAAAGATGCGAAGAGGTTGATCCATGACTGAGCAGCCCTCAATATTGTTATACTGCCAAGACAGGCTTTCAAAACAGATTGCGTTAGGGGAATATTGCCGCAGATGAGATATTGTCCTGAATTAGAGGGTGTTATTCATGAGCGGATGAGAAAAGACGAGACTGTGATGAGCACAGTTAGGAGAACTCTTTAAAGTCAAGTGACCACCTAGCCGAGGTTTCTATGTCCAGAAGTGGCCATAAACTGATGCATAAAGAACAATAAAAGGAACAGAACATTAAGAAAATAATAAAAGAAAGGGAAGAAAATAATAGGAAAAGGAAAAGAGTAATAGAAAAAGCATGTATGAAACTTCCCCTCCCATCTTCATCCCCTCACCTCACCTAGCTTTCAGCTGTTTTCAAGTCAGTTTCTTCATCCTGATGTGTTTTATCTTTTTAGTAATCCCCAGTGGATTTATTTTATTTGTTTTCTAAGTACTTGTTCAGTCCCCCCTTGAACTCATGTGAATTTCTTCTACCTACAGAATCTTTTACAGAGTTCCTAGGTCACAGAATCACAGAATCACAGAATCGTTTAGGTTGGAAGGGACCTCTGGAGATCATCTAGTCCAACCTCCCTGCTCAAGCAGGGTCCTCTAGAGCATATTGCCCAGGATCACATCCAGACAGCTTTTGAATATCTCCAGGGAAGGAGACTCCACAACCTCTCTGGGCAACCTGTTCCAATGCTCTGTCACCCTCACAGTGAGGAAGTTTTTCCTCAGCTTCAGATGGAACTTCCTGTGGTTCAGTTTCTGCCCATTGCCTCTTGTCCTGTTGCTGGGCACCACGGAGAAGAGGCTGGGCTCATCCTCTTGACACTCCCCCTTCAGATACTTGTACACGTTGATGAGATCCCCTCTCAATCTTCTCTTCTCCAGGCTGAACAGGCCCAGCTCTGGCAGTCTTAACCTTCATCTTCCCTGTTTCTGGAGACACTTAATGATGCACGTCTTTAGAATCATTATACGACTATTTTATATTATACGACTATTTTATATTATGCGACTATTATACGACTATTTTATAAGTAAATTAGCCATCATTTTTGATGGCTGCTACAGAAGGCATGCATAACTTTCAAAACTTTAAAGAGGTCAACATTTTTTGGAAGATTCTACAGCCTCACTGAATTGTTTCATTTTAAATCCATGGGGCCACTGGGATTGGACAAGTGATATATTTGGCCTTAACACTAAGTTTTCAGAAGTGCTGAGCGTCCACGAGTTCAAATGAAGGCAAATTACTGCAGGTTTAGAGTTCCTACGTCTCTTAAAATTAGGCTATTAAAAGTATGGTTGATTCTTGGATTCCAGAGTGTGATTGGCCTTATGGCTGGTATTAAGAAAGAACATTGTTTTTCTCTGTAGTCAGAGCACCTTTAAAAAATGATTATTACAGTGCAATAAAAATGGAAACTATACAATTTCTAGACTTACTATTTATAGTCATATTGTACCTTAATCTTCTTTGTCCCAATTTCAATAAAACGGTAATAATAGAACTTGTTTTACCCTATACTTAAAGAGCAGTTTGGCCCAGGTTGGTGCTGGCAACTTTGTAAAGTGCAACCTAGGTTTTATATATTTCCTGGATTTCAAACATTTATTTTTTTTTTTCTAAAAGAACTGCCATGTTTTATTGAGGTTCTTTCTTCAAGGAGTTCATTAACCCCGAAGTTGGGGGTCAGATTTTTTTCTGAGACTATGAGAATGGGAATGTTTTAACAATACTTACAGAAGACTAATATGCAGTTTATGCTTTCTGTAAAAAGGAGACCTTGTACCCTAATTCCTCTAATACTTACACATTTTAGTTGTAGAAGCAGAGAAAAGAAAGAGGGATGAAGCTATCAAAGACCTGGAAACATTTTGGAAATACTTGGAGCCTGTTCTGAACAGTGGAAAACATGGATCAAGTCTCTTTGATGTTGCCAGACTTCATCATCTAGTTAAGGAGAACACCTTTCCCCCTGATTGGTCTGACAGTGAAATGCTGGTCAGTGGATTGCTCTGTCACAATGTGTGGCACACTTTGGGATTTGTAATATTTAGCATAAATTTAGGAATGGCAGGAATTTGAGCTTTGTCATCTATGAAGCAGAGCCAGAATAGTTAGTATATTTGTAATTTTGAAAAAAAATGATTTATTGTGTTTATTCAGCATATATTCACATGGAGTCCTTTGAATAAAAATATCTGACTTGGACTTTCTGAACACTGAAGGTCATAGCAGCAGAGTTTATAAACAGTTTGAAGGATTAAATAAATTCAGCATCTTCACATAGACCCAATTTGAATCTCATCAGAGAGTCTGATTTGATATGAAATAACACAAAAATATAACTGCTGCTCCTAACAGCGGTTCTACTTTCTGAATCTCAGAAAAGTCACATGAGAAAAAATTAAAATGAATGCAAAAGCTCTTGCTGCTGTTTCAGTCCATCCAGTACTGCTTTTTTTTGTCCTGCCAAAGCATGCCTCTGGTCTATTGCTTACTGTAGCCTGGTGAGTCAAGACCATTACTACTGGCAGAGAAGGTGAACCATTAGAAATATTTTCCAGCCTAGAATCTGAAGTGTGGCAAGGTAAAAGCACCCGGTGTCTTCTAGTCTACAATGGCAGCAGTAAAAAATATAAACTGTTGAAACAAAATAAAGCAACATTCCATAATTTATCGTACTGTATCTGTGGTTTGTAGTATTAGGGTTAAAGGACAGACTGCAGTCTCTGAACACTTATTTATAGTGTATTAAATCTTGTATATAAACAATCTTGTGAGCTAGGAAGCACCCTTGATCCTAAAAGGATGAGCACTGAATTTGGCTAAATCCAAAGGGATTTCTAAGACATTCATTAATTGTGCAAATGTGTAGGATTGCCATTATACTACTGATGTGGTCTTAAAATATGAAACCTGTTCTGGGAAACAAGTTCTTTAATGCTGTCTATCTTCTTCATAATCACTTCTTCTAGGGAACTGTTGCTGCTTATTAATATCCTCTGAGCAGTTATCCTTACTGAAATAGACAAGCAAAATTATCTGCCACTGAAATTGTTCTAGCAGATTTGTAGTTATAATTTCACATTCTTTTGTAACTCAGAATTCAACAGAGCTCTAAAGTAGGAACATTTGTAAATCTTTAAAGAAATAGATAAGAAGAACATATGTCATGAAATCATTTGTGAATAGAGTACATCTGTTCTGGTCGACTCTTTGGAGAGTCTTTGAATCCTAGCTTGGTGCATCTCTGAAGTCCAAGATACACAGGAGGAGAACTCTTGTGACAAATTGTTGCACGTTTGATGTAAAAATGATAGATTGTTATAAATAGAAAGTAATCTCCTTTTTCAGATTTCATGTGTTTAGAAAGGAAAATATTTCCAGAAATATTCTCCTTTGTCCAAGTGCCACTCATAATTAGAGAACTTTCTTTTGATGAGCCTCTGTGTCTGTCTGGAGGAGAGAGCAAGCAAATTGGATCATAAAACTGTAGTTTTACAAACCTTTGCATCTGTCCCGTTGAGCAGCACCAGCTCATGTTACTTGTAACTCTGTAAAAGTTCTTGTTTAGTTTAAAAGATTGTGCATTCAAAACACTCCAATACCTTAATTCAAATTTTCATGTGCTCTAGTAATCACTCGTAAGTAATAGAAATGAATGGAAGGTTTTTATACCATCCCATTCATTTTTCAGAGGAACGTTGATCTGGAAAAGCGACCAAAGGTATAAGAATATTAACTCTTGAAACACTGCACTTTAGAAGTAGAACTTCTCTCCCAAACATCTTCTCAACTTTTTAAATACCATGAAAACTGAGACAAGTATTTCATAAGTGATCAGTGATTCGGTGTGCTTATTTTAAAGTCCCATAAAGAGGACCTGAGTTTGAGAAAGCAGATGCTTGACACTTACGGGTCAGTTATGTATTTAATCTGGGTTAAGCACTTAAAAGCAGTTGTGCCTTCTTCACTGGGGTTCATTTTAGAAAAATTAAAACTGAAACATCCAATGTTAGTAGTCATTTTTATAGTCCTTGAGCAAGTGGTTTCATCAAGCAGAAACCTGTTCTATAGGCCTGTGCCTATAGAACACAGGCAATCCAGGATGAGTCAAGTAAAAGCAATGTAGCTAATTCTTTCTTGTCACTGAATGCCACCTTTCTTGTTATGTGTAAGGAGGCCAAAACCAGTAATATACATCAAAGGTTACCAGAAGTGATTTCTTAAGGCTCTTGTCCGAAGATATCATTAGCATTCGCTTCTCTGACTAGCCATTTTTCTTCTGAAGTTTCATTTTTTGTGTCCTGTCTCCTGTGGTTGTGATTCCCATTTTTTAACCTGCTGCTCCTGTGACAGCAGTTGAATTTAGCTAATCTGACTGTTACAGCCGTTAGCAGCTCTCCAGCCACTCTCGTTAGCTTTTACACAGAATCATCCATTTCTGTATTTGTCTTTATCCTAGCTCTCTGAGGGGAAAGGAAGGAAAGAACATACACTACAGTGATTGTAATAAGGAAGAAAAGAAGTAAATACAAAAAGACTGTACTGACTTTTGCATTATTTTCATGTGGTTTGTTCTCATGTTTTCATACTGTGTGAGGTATGAACCTCTTATGAACCTCTTATTCTTAATCCAAGATGCTTCCCTTCCTTTCATGGAAGCAAAACGGTCAGTCATAATAGGCTTTTAATAGTAATTGTCTAAAAATCACAATCATTACATCTTTTCTGTAATGTCTAGCATATACAAGAGAAGAATATGGCCAGTTAAAGCCATTGAAGCATATGACCTCAGACAGGTTTTTGGTGTATGGACAAAACACTTCAGATTCAAAACAGCTACTAGTGTCATATTTTTATACCTTCCAAGCCTCTGTGCAAACCACAGTACAACACCTCAGTAACCTTGTCTCTTTCGTTGTCAAATTTTTGCAAATACAGCTTTCTCCCTTTGGAAATTAGAATCAAATGGTAATTTTTTGTTCCTTGTACAGCTTTAGAACTCAGAGTTGAATTCTTGAGATTTTTCTTTGTTTCAGAAGGGCAACGGCAACAAAGAAAATAGTAGGAGATGACATTGATAAGGTTTTTTTTTTTAATCTTTTATCCTTCTAGGGCAGAGGAATGGTTGACATCGCAAATATGCCCCAGGCTGATCACCAATAGAAACATGCTTGTGTATGATACAGAAGATACAGTATCTTATGTTACCTCTCCTGTTTCTTCCCATCCAAAATAAGACCTACATTCCTGTTACAAGAGAGCAGACCTTGAATGGTTGCTGTTACGTTCAGTTAGGCTTTATACCACTGCAGCAACTGGGCCACACTCAATTTGTACTCCAATTTGTACTGTGATGTGATAATGATTAGGCAAGTGAAGATGAGGCTCTGTTTTCTTAGAATAACTCTGTAAAACATTTGGAATTAGTGGAGAAAAAGTCCCTTGGAAGATTTTTAAACAGTTGTAGATCTGTTGGTTAGAGAGCTAATGAGTCACATGGTTAAGTTACATAACACTCTTGTATACAAACTTTATCCTTTGGATCTGCTTTTTCTCTCATAGCTTGCATTTGGCACTACGCTATTTGAAAGCATTGCTTGTTTAATGTATGACTGCCTGGATTGGAAAAGACAGCATTGTAACTACTTGGAAAACACCAAGTTTATTAATGTGCCTGCATTATCAAAGAGCAAATTGGCACAATCCCTTGCAATGGAGGTAAGGATCCTTTGTGCTTTACCATGCTTCTTGTAGAGAATAACTGATAATTGGAGATAATTTCCTTCCTTTAATTCTGCAGTCAAAAATTCAGCTTGGACCATCACTCAATGTGTAATTTGTTATGAAAGAAATTGGGACTTTTGTCTTCAGCCCTTAAAACCTCAGGAAAATAATAGCAGAGCATTGGGGAAAGAGAAAAAGGAAAACTTGAAGGATCATACAGGCATTGGCATAAAGTATCACTGGCATAAAAATGACTTTATTTCTGAGGAACATATTTTACAAATTCTCATGTCTGGACAAACCACTGTGCATGCACAGAACTACTGTGTCTTCTTACAGATCTCTTAACTATTCAGAAAAGAATTTTAGTTCTGTCTCAAATCAGTTCCCTTATTCTGTCCATGGTAGACAAAAGCTTATGCAGGCAGAAGAACACCACTTGTGGGATGTGAACTAGAGGCAGGTTAAAAATGGGATTACCCCATTCTGTAGCATTGCTACTCTATGCTCATTTACAGCATTCATAAAACTACGGTCTTACTGTCTTCTTCCATTCAGAAGTTAGAGGGATTTGTCTCCCCTAATATCAACTGCTTAAAAGTATAGCATCTCCTCTGGCTAAATGAAATTAATTTCTCGCAAATATTTATATATGGCAATCCTCAATGGTTCTGAGGTTTTCAAACTCTATTTCTGTTCCTGTAGGTATATCCAGCATCACCGATTTCATCTTCAAAGAAAAAAGGGCAAGCAGAAGAAGTTCTGCCAACAGTAATTTTGTCACAGGGTATGTGTAAAGGATCAATGTGCTGGTCTGTAGCTGTTCACTCTGTTTTACCCTTTGTTCATCTGACAGCCCAAATCCCTGAAGTTATTTGTGCAGTAAGCCAAAGGTGTGATTTGGTGTTGTGTGAGTAGTTTCTGGGTGCCTACATTGTGAAAATCTCTGGACACTACACTAGTGATAACTAAATTCTTTAAAGAGTCACTTTGTCTAACTACTCCTAATCACGGTTGGGTTTAAAAGCTAAGCAAATACGGACTTTGTTAGTATTTTTAAGAAACTACCTGAAGGTTGAACTGGTCGGTAATATAAATTGGCATTTCTGAAGAAATCTGTCTTAGTATGGTCTCTCTTATTGCAACAGAGGAAGAAGTTTCTTTTCTGGCTGCTTATGTCGACATGCGGTATTACAATGACTTGCTGAGTCAAATTCCTGAGGAATGCATTTCTGTGCCCTTAATCCTGAACTGCATGTTGGAACAGGTGATAATATTTTCTTATTATTTCATGTGGTTAATTCAAGCGAGCACTTGTTATTTTGAACTGATCAAAGACAAAAAAATTTGTCTGTTTCAGGCTAAACTAAAGACTGTGCGTAGAGGAACTGACCACATAGGTTCAATATACAGGAATTAGGACTCAAAGTGGCTTTCCTGTTTTCCTTTCATGATGTGCACTTACCCTGTATATACAGTGTTATCCAAAATTATTTTGTCGAGACTGCAGATCCAATATAATCAAATGAGGAAAATGAGTAAATAACAAGTTTTCATGTGCTGCAACAATGGTATTGATACTGGACATTTACTGTTCTACTCATTAAACAAAGATGCCCATCTAGGGCAAGTTTGCTACTAGAAGTGGCATGTATTTATGCTAGTGCTTGACAGGTCTGACTTCTGTCAAGTTCAGGCACAAGTTAGCAAAGATACACAGCGTGATTTAGGAATCTTGCTTCTTTTAGAAATTAAATTCAATGCAATCTTTTTTTTTTTTTTTACTTTCTATTTACTAGTTTATTTTCAATATAATCTGAAAGTAGACTCAAGCAAAAGTACTCAGGATAAGATCTAGCATCAGATATACAGTCAGTTTTTAGTCATCTGTGTGCATTAAAAATTCTAAACTTTTCAGATTGGAAATATGTTTCTTCTCATCCTTGCGAAAGTAAAAAATAGGAGAACACATTTACCTCCGTGTTTTCCGTAATCTTTGGAACTAACATGGAGAACTGCAGTTTTCCTACTTGTGCAAAAATATTATGATTTTCTTTTCTGAGAAAATTAGGAATATGTTTGTGTAGCTTATATGTAGCTTATAGTGAGGTCTGCTTGGTAATTTTAATGTAGTTAAGCAGCAGTCATACTGTAGTGGAAGCTAAGATATGTCATATCTGCTAGGTTACTGCAAGTGAAGAAGACCTTACACCACCTAGCCTGATAGTACCACAGCCCCGGGCAGATGGACTAGATCATACCATTGCAGATCATATAGCCTCTGTCCTTCCTTCTCTTCCGCTTTCTGACAGTGAAAGAAAGGTTTGTGTTGTTTTTTGTTTGTTTCCTAAACTGACAAATAAATTTGTTTATTGGTGTTAATTGCATCTCTCTCCTTCTTCTTTAACAGGATCTCTATGACTACTTTTCTCCTAAACACAGTGAAAAAAAGACTGTGACCCCCAGGGGCCCTCTCTTACTAAACTACCATGATACTCTGGCTCAACGGTTGCACTTCCTGGAGGTATAGTGCTATCTGTCATATCTATACAGTTATAATGTCTACAGACAGTCAACATTTAATTCACTATAATGGAGTGGTGTTTTTACAGAGAAAAATATGATAGCCCAGATTAGTCTACTGGATAGGCACACTAACACTTATATTTAGTCTGCTTAAGATGGAACAGGTTACTACTACTGACAGAGGACACAGATCATAAAATACACACCACTATGTTGATGTGAGTGATTTGTTTGCACTGCTAATGGGCAAGTTTAGCTTTTCACACAGATAAGTGATATTACAGAACTCTTGATGTACTTTAGTCTAACATAGATGAAATTGAGACACACACTGACTTATTACATTGACAACTGTGAAATAGCAGCTAGACTAGAATAAATAAAGTTGTAGGGTCGTATAAGAAAAGGTACAGAGTTTGTGAGTGAATACAAGAAGTGCTTTCAGGCAGGAGCATAGTGTATATACAGGACATTGCTGGTTTTTGCAAAATCTAACATAGGCAGAAAGGTTCAGAGTCCACTGCAAAGTTTAGAGTTATTTCTAAGTAGAAGTTTCCAGACTTTCTGAACCAACAAACCACTGTGAATTCCTCAAATTTTTCTGAAAGCCAGGGTGTACTTTTACCATTAAACATTGGATATAAAATACTCTGAAGACAATACAAGTGATAATTTAATTCTAGATTTCACAGCTAAGCTGCAGACCATCTGCCTAGCTTCATGGATTACAATTTGTCCGTTGGACCACTTTTACAACCATTGATTAACATAACATTTTAAAATAAATAGAGCTTGACACATTGAAGGTATTCAAGCAGAAGGCAGGACCGAGTAATCACTGAGAGAGATGCTCTTAGCAGACATGTTCTTGATGTCTGATATACTTGCTGCAAAGGAAATTCAGGATATAGCACAATGTTTGAGGAGGAAGTAGAGGAAAATATGGGTTTGGGAGATATGGTCCAGAAAAAAGGTCCTGCAAGTCATGCAGAACACAGAAGTAAATTGTTAAAAAGAACAAACCTGAGGGATTCTCAAAGAAATCTCAGAATTTAGATCCTTAAATCCATGGTGACCCTGCTGTCACAGAATGATCAGTGGGTTTGTGATCATCATCACTATGTGCAGTAGCACAGACCAACTTAAAGATACATGCAAGGGACATGATGCCTGTCTGAATAGATCGGTACATGTTTCTGTATTCCAGAATTTTTCAATCTGGCTAGCAAAGGCAAATATCTTTAAACAAGTATCCCTTGATTATGCCTTCTCTCAGTTGTTTTCTTCTACCTCTCATTTTTCCTGCTCAAAATATCTGATACCATGATTCAGTAAAGCACTCCAAGCACATGGTCAAATGTAAGTATATGTCCCACTATCTTAAGCACATTCTTATATCTTTTGCTATAAGGGCTCTCATTTATTCTAAGCTAATTTTTAGAAGTCCACTGTTGTGAAAATTTACTTTAACTCTGATAATCTGATTTTTGTTCCAGGTCCAAGAGGGCTTAAATCTAGAAAAGATTGAGTATGAAATGTTGGACAAACTGCCTCTTGCAGAACTTCTCCAGTTCACCCTTCCTTTACCTGAGGACAACTCTAAACACTTGGCTAGAGTTCATGAGCTCATGCATTATTGTACCAGTGGTGAATTGATTTTCTTTTTACCGATATTATTTCTGTTTTTGTTGTGGCTGAAGATCCTATTATATAGCGGAAATCTGTGGACAAGTGTTTTCAATTACCTAAAACCCTTGCAGCAGTTCCCAGTTTTCAGTTTCTTGGGTAGACCTTAGCCTATCATAAAAGTTAGGCTAGCTTTAGATCTGTGTTTACGGTTGCTGTGCAAGGCTATACCAGTATTAAGTATTGCATGGCTAAGGGTTAGCAGTATGTCAGAACTCTCTTATTTATTCCCAAGCATGCACATGCACTCATTTTCTTTCTGAGAAAGAAAAGCAAATACTTGTACAAATTGCTATTTTGACCTTAGGACGCAGAGTGCATTTGGGAGACAATGACATAAATACTATATATATTTAGCAACACCCATGCTGTAGAGGAGCACATGTAACTTGCATAGAAGATTTTTACTGGAAAATAGTAGTGGTTTTCAAAATGTATTCTGTGTAAGCTGCTGATGTTAATAATGAAATGGCTCCTACAATAGTACCTTTATCCAATCAGCAAAATACCCTCACCTCTTCAGCCATAATTTTTTCTGCAGTTACCTTTTCTTGGAACATGTATACAGCTACGATAAACACTGTGAAACAATCACAAAGACTTTGGTAGTTTTGAATGTTTGCTCTATGACTGCTAAGAAATCTAATCCAAATCCCTTTGGTTGCATTTATGCCATCCTATAAGGCACAGGATTGGAAGCTGCTTTCCCTGCTCTTCACTTCCGAAATCCCATACGTTGGATTAGTTTACACTGGCTGCATTGTTTCTAGTTGTTGATGTATTTATTTTAGAAGGTGTATCTTAGCTATTAAGGTATTCTGTATTGCTATAGCATGCCAGCTGGCGGTATTAGGTTTGATGGTCTTCACTGGACCATACCATATTGCCAAACTCTCCCAAATGTTAACTTTGCTTGCAGTTTCTTCACTGTTATGTTTCTCAAGGAGGTGATTGATTTGTACAGGTGGTGACATAGCTAACGTTTTTCAACATGTATGACGTGTGCTTGGATGTTTAACTAGCATAAAGAGAAAACATGTCAAACTGAAGATACTTGTTGTATAATTTGAGTACCAAACTACCTGCCTTAAGGTTCTTGTAACTACTGTTATTATGTCTGAAGAGAAGAAACGCTTGATACTTGGTTTGAGAAGTTATGCAAGATAGTAAAAAAGTTAATGATAACGGAGCCTTTTCATGAAATATAACTAAAATAAATAGTTAATCTGGTTTGATAAAGTCTGCTCAGTATTTTAAAATAAAAATCATTTATATAAAGTTAATGAGCAAAGAGGTATTCAGATGTAGGAAAGAGTTCATTTTAGATGTATTAATAGTTAGGCATATCGTTTTGCAATTTGGATGCATTAGACTTTGAGTACAGCGTAAAATGTAGCACTTACAATTTGATCCAATACCATTAAGGAAGTTGTTGGCTTTTGCAGAGATGCCAAGAACAATAAAATCACAAAAAAAAACTTTTATAGAACTTCTGAGCTGGGCTGAAGTAGAAAGAGCCTTCAAAGTGTTTACTTTTGAAAGCCTGAGGCTGACTGGGCTGAATGACTCTGGTCTCCTGGAGAGCACTGGATCCATGGTGAGAGGTGATTCTGAAGTGTCTTATATGCCCTGGGATGATCCAGCCAGGTTTGCAAGACAGCTGAGACAACTCTTCCTTATGGAAAAGAAGCTTAATGGGAAATCTCCAAGAGGCTCTGGTAAAAACCTCTCCATTTATGTTACCCCGAAGAATTTGAATCTGCTATTTATCTCAGTATATCATTTGCTATTACTTATTATTGTACTTCCAAAACAGAGGTGTTGTGAAACTGATGCAAGAGGTCTCTGGCAAAGGCAAATCAGCATCATGTTTGTTGAGTAAATTAGTTTTTTAAACTTATGAATTTCTGCAGTGCTGGCAACTGGAACTCATGTTATCAGCCGTCAAGGCTTGACAGATAAGCTATTGGGATTTGCAAGTTATTTGAAATTAAGTGTATGGAATACCCAATGTTCAGGTTTACTGCTAAAACTTGATCTGTAGCAATGGTACAAAAAGAAATGAACCTGAGATTAGAGTTTTGTAGAACAGAAATTCTACAAAAACCTGTAAATACAGAATGGATGTGACTTACCCAACCTAGCTTTTACTGTCTAAAAGTAAGTATCTAGCTTAGGCTAATTGTCTGGACTCCTTCTGTGGCTGGGAGAAGGAGGAAAGCACCTCCAGAGGGTTATTTATCTAATGTTTCTTAAAGTCCAGTTCTACTGCAACCTAAATAGATAAGTACAACAACTACATAAATATGATTTGGAGCTATTATCCCTCTCCTCTCCTAAACTACCATGTCTGTGTGATACTACCTCTTCCTTCCTCTACCACAATTGGCATTTCACCATCCAACCCGACTACTCAAGCAGGGTCACCTAGAGCAACTGGACCATATCCAGACAGCTTTTGAATATCTCCAAGGATGGAGCCTCCACAGTCTCTCTGGGCAACCTGTTCCAGGCCATTTCTCTGATCCTGTAGTGATCTGGTTTAAGGAGCATTGTTGGCCAAGAAGTAATATTACAAAATAAGTAGTTATTCTTCTGGGATGTGGGGAAAGTACAAATTAGATAAGTTTAGGCTGCAGTACCTTTAGATTTATGATGCTGTCCATCCTGCCCTAATATTGATGTCTAGATAACCAGCCTAGATGGGATTCTTTCTTTAGAAAATTAGAGCAGGCGAAATGAATCCTGCTTTATCTGCCCCTTTTCTGAATTTTGAAAACCTTTTTTGCTGTTAGTTTTTTTTACTTTTATGTTAGTCACAATACTGAATATTGTAGTTACAAACATAGCTGTCAACATTTCAATGCTTCTGCTGCACACAAGTAAATGCCTGTAGGAAAATGCTTTTGCTTTCAAATTCCTTATATCTTCTAAAGGTAGTTAATAAATGGACCTAATTTCCCATAAAAGCAGAGACTAAAGAGCTACATCTGGAAGCTAAGCTGGCTATGAGCCGCATAGGAAAAAATACTTTCCAACTATTTTCTCACAGGAAGAGTATTTTTCTTGTGTGTGAATTTTGATCAAATATTATCGACCTCTGCTTTGAGTCAGGCCCTAAAAAAATTTTATCAAGAGGAAAATATTTCAAAAAGTTATGAGGAGATGAAAAACATGAGACTGATGAAATCAGAATAAGACTAACGTATGATAAAACTGATGGTGTACATTAGAAGTTTAAACATCCTGTTTTAACAGTCAGATTAGACGTGTTTATGTTTGACTAGAAATATGTGAAAAGATTCTAGATAAAATCACTAAAAATATCTGAGCTATGTTTTATCTTCATGAAAGATGAACTTAAGATGGAGTTAAAGTTTCCATGTGATCCAATTCCCAGCAGCTATCAGGTGCCCATTGTAGTACCAAGAGTTTAACAGGAAAGACCAGTCATATTCTCAGCATAAGTAATGTTCTGTCGGTAGCTTGTAAAACTCTAAAAACCTAATGAATTTAATTAGTATAAAACTTGCATTTTTTTCCAAAATTCTTATATCAAAATAATTAGTGGAGTTTTTTTTTTTTTTTTCATCTGTAAAGGAATACTGGTAGTCATTTCTCAGATAGTAAGCAGAGAGATGGTTGAGGACACTGAGGATCCTGATCTTGAGGACACTACAAGGACACTACACATAAAATACTTTTATGCTTTTTGACCAGACAAGACTGTAATGAGAAAGATAAAGAGACTAATTTGGGTGGGAATTACAAAGAGTTCATCTTTGTTTTTTTCTTTCTGTTAATGAACTGTCTGTGGGTTGTTGTCCATGGATTTTGAAGTGTTCATTTAGGAAATAAGTATAGTAGAGTTGGTCATGTATTTAGTGGACTGATGTCATAAAAGGAAGATTCAACTTGGAGGCAGTCTCTTCAGAGGAAGTTAAGGAAACAGCATCGCTCTGACTTTTGTGTTTAGGACTGAAATTTCTGGAGCTCTTTTTAAACGTCTGCTTTCAATTTCCAGGACATACAGAAACAAATGACAAAGATGGAAGAAGTGATCTGGCTGATCCTGTTTTAAATAAAGAACTGGATCTTTCTATTTCTGAAATGGCAAGTGTGATGAATTGAATAAATTGTGTTCTGTAGCATGAGACAACAGAAAATACTGTTCAATGCTGGGACATGTTACTGGGGATTCCTTTGCAATGATATGTGAATGTTAATTTTATGATGTTCGGGGGGTAGTGCCATAACTTTTAAGCATTATGAAATCGCTTCTTTCAATCCTAAGGTGATGGGCTTGGGGGAAGCTACTAATGGCAATTCTGTGCTGGTCTCGCTGAATACCAGGGTTCAAATGTTAGCATGATGGTCTGAGTGAAAGTGCCAAATTGTGTCACACTAATAGACTGTGTAGTTTGGCATCTTCAGAAACACCTGCCTGCCATACAACTTTTGATAAATATAGCAATTTTAAAATGACTTCATAGGACTTGTCTAAATATTCATAATTGCTTACAGCACTCAAAAACATATAACCTAATAATAAAAATATTTAGATTATGTTTGCCATTAAAAAGTCGAGAGCAAAAACTTTTTGGAGCAATTGTGTTTTGTATTAAATATTGCAATTTGGGTCTACATATGTGCAACATTATGCAATTAACTGTGTTGCAACATGGAATGCTGTCTATTAAGTCAACAAGATTATATTTAATTTAATACAACTGACACTGAAATGTTGATATTCTTTATTTTGTTTTGCTGTATTTTGAGGTGAGTCCGGAAAATTATGGCCTAGAACTAAACTTAGCAGAAATAAAAAAGACTCAGAGGCGTTGTTTGACAGACTGGATTTTTGCTGAGCATTTTCAACCACATGTCCTTCTTCAGGTGTGTATGAACTGATGATAATATCGATACAGTCACTCCTCAAAATGGTTGATAGAGAATTAATAACAGGATACAGGACATTTCCCTACTAGATAATTGATTCAGTTCTATCCCTGATAAATATTTATCAGAACCTGTTGTTCTTCAGCTGCTTTTCAGACGCTTGTCTGATACATAGTTTATAATTGCTTTTAATTTCCTGGTTTGGCCATGCTGCAGCTGGCCTTTTTGGTAGTGAGACTTGAAGGCTAATGTGTGGTGGAAACAAAATTAATTTACCATTAGAGGTTATCCTCCCTCACAGTTATGGGATTCATTTTTCCAGCGTATGGATTTCTTCACCCTTTCAGGGCTACAAGCTCCATGTATAGAAAGCTTGCAAGCTGAAGACCAAAATTTATCTTACAGAAAGACAAAACAAAAAATGTGAAAGATGCGTTCAAGTGTAGATGGCATAAGTTGGTAGGCATTCCCTTGGTAGAAGTGGATTAGTCATTGTGCTGCCTTGAGCTTCACATGCTGCAATTCTTGTTTGATCCTGATACATGCTATACAAGAGTGAAGGAAAGGCTGCTTTCGCTTTTTCCCCACCACTTTAGAGTTTGGTCATAGATTTGAATAAATGGGGAATTCCTTCTTATGTGAGGTAAATAGCTAATAATAACTGAGCAGTCAATAATTAATAGATCTAGTCAAAAGATATTGATGAAATATAACTGCAACAGAAAGTAACAACATTTTGGTAAGAATGGTTTTTTTTTATTTCATATTACTGCATGTCACATTCAAATACATTTTTACAACCAGCTGTTAATAAGGTTTTCATATGCATATTTCATTCAAAATAGTATTTGTTGATATGGAATTTATTCTTAGAAAAGATTCAAGACTGTACTTTATGATGTATTACATGTAAATTATTTCAGCTTTACCTCCATTTGAGAGTACTGTAAAAATAAAAGTTTAAAAGAAGTCTTTCTTCTAACTATAACTGTAAAATGAGGTTCTGTCTGCAGACAGTATAAATACTGAAAAGTGATGCACACCGCAGAGTAGAGTGGAACAATGTGGAATGCAATAAATCTCAGTGATATGCCGGTCATAGGGCAGCAAATTGAGTACCATGTGAACTTAAGTGAGCTAAAAGAAAAAGTAGTCAATTTGTCAATTCTTTCTACCTGGTATATGAGTATAGCAAGTTCTGCTTTTATTAAACTTTGATCTTAACCTGAAATTTTTCATTCATGATCAGTCTTAGCAAGTGAAGAGAGTTCTAAACTATGGCTTTGCCTCCTGTAATCTCTCTATCAGAATTGTCTAGATGAATGGAGTATAGTGAGTGCCTCTTCTCAATACAGATAGCAGCTGAGGTTCAACTCCACACTGCTGAACACTTCAGGTTGCTGGAATCCAAATGCTTTGTATACTAGCATGTACACATCTTCTAGAGTAGTGAAGTTATGGAGCATCTTTTGCTAAAATCTGTGCTGTGTAGCATCTTTGCATACTACTGTCTGCAAGGAGGATGCATCTTTATTTCTTTTTTTTTTTCAGGTTCTTCATACTGCAACCCAGCAGTATAGATGTGTTGATTCCTTCTACCATACCCAAGATAACTCTTTGCTTATGGTTCTTCACAATCCTATGAATCAGTATCGTCTGTGCCAAGAGACCTGGGATATGGCATTGCACTCTGATGTTGGATTCAGGTAATTAATTTCATCTTTCATGTCTTAGTCACCAACAGTCATTTTCAATTAAAACCTGCATGGCCATGCTTGGGGCAAAGCTTAGAAATGAAAAAAATACCATAATGTAACACATTTCTGAAAAAGCAAGTCATACAGGTGGATAGCAGCACTATATCAAAAGCATTCCAATGAGACAAAGCTTTTCAGAGTGAGAGGAACTACACAGTAACTGTATGTGACTACTTCTCACAAACTATAAGAGTATGCATAATGCATACATGCATGCAAGCACACGCACAGTCATATTAGGAATATTCACATTAGGAAAATGACATTGAGGACACTTAAGTTGAGGGAGGTCAAAAAGGGAACTGTCTAAGAATATAGTTACCAGTGTTTTCAGCTATGTATGCATAAATTGGGCAAGTGTCTCTCTGGGAAGTTTCAAAGAAAAGCTAGTGACCCTTATCAATATTCAGAAGTTTGTTGTTTGTTTTTCTGAAAGCACCACATTCTTCTTCAATTATATGTCACTATTTCCTCTCCTCTAGAGGTGTGTGAGTGCTTGATGTTTCCACTGTTGGAGCTTTTGCCAGTAGACCTTTCCATTTCAGAGCAGGTTTTTGCACTGAAACAGATGTATAAATGACGGTGTGGATTCAAGTACTGTTTCAGCTTATTGATCAAAAGTAGAATTTGTGTCTACATACTGATATATGTAAAGAAGCTACAATGCCATGGAGAGATATCTGAACTACCTTTAGCCATGTCACAGTGGTGCTCTGTGGATTAATTAGATTTGTTTTATCGAATAGAATTGGAAGCAAATTATTTAGTAGACCAACATTTTTTTCAAAAATTTTTCCACAAGCATTGCTTGTTAAGTGAAGTGCCCTATTTTTCATAATATTGGAATCTTTTAATAGAAATGTGTACCTACGTATATGAACAAGCTTGAATGCTAAATAGGCAAAACGTGCCTTCCTCAAGTCCTATTTCAAATCTTTGTTCTCGGTGAAGGAACTCTGTGCGAGTCTGTCTCTGTTTTCTAGGCAAGTGGACTTAAATTATTTCTTATGAAAAAGGCTTTTGTGATTAGCAGTGATTGGGATCAGTATTATCAACCACAGCCAGAGGAGATTTACCAGCAAAAACCTGGAGTTCCTTGGAGAAAATGCTGGCTGTTTTGTGATTGTGGGGCAAATCCACTAAATGTCTGCCCGAATTTTTAATCTAAAATTTTTAATATATTTTATATATGTATATATATAGGTATGTGTATGTACACACACACACACACACACACACACACACACACACACACACATATCACCCGGCATCTCCCCCAAAGATGGTGAAAGATACTGTGTTCAAATAAACCTGGGACTTGCATTCAAGTAGATCCAACGAGTCAGTAGTCTCAAACAAAATCTGTTACAAATAAATGTATTGGAGCCCAGAGCTGTTTACTGTTTGCTAACTATTCCTTCCCTTCTTTGGAGCACTGGACATTAAGGGACTGATTCAAGTTGTAACCTACACAGCTAGTGTCAATTTAGCCAGCTAGCACATCTGTGGAGTCTGCATAGGGCTGGCAGATGTGACAGGAAACCCATAGGAGTCCCATATCCTTCTGGAGCAGCAACTGGAGACACGATTGCATACTCTAGCGTATCTAACATGTCACTTGATGAACCTCATACATAAAGCTCACCCCAATGACATACTGCTGTTTTGTTGTCAGTAGGAGCAGATAATAAGGAACAGGATCTCCTCAGAAAGCATTTCTCATTGAAGCAATTTAACAGCCCTTCACCCATAGAGTCCTACAATGATTTGACTGGTCATCTTGAGAGGGCATTGAGATAATCAGTTCAAGGCCAAATATTCCTGAACTCGATACATGCAAAATTAAAGTTCCAAATTTTGCTTCCAGAGGAGTAATGAAGCCTACTCTCTGGCAGGTGCATTATAATTCAGTGGAGGATGGATTAGCTACGTGCTTCTTTTTTCTCTTTTTTCCAGATATACTGGAAACAAAGCCTAGACATTAAAGATGGCTTCTGCCTAGGGTATGTCAGCTTTGTTCACTGCTAGTTCACAGGGTTCTAGTTCAAAGCAGAAAGGTCTTCCTAAACAAACTGACACGAAGCTTTTGTTTTTAGTCTTGGTTCAGAAGAATGTTCAACTTGAGTGCTATTTCTATTACTTAGTATCTTTGAAGAGCTAAGGGCTCTTATTTGGTTCTGTTATGTGGCGTCTGTACCCACCTTTTCTCTGCAAAATGAGCATAATTTGCAAGGACCTTGCTCAACCTTTTGGCCAAAGATCATTTCAAATTTCCAAAGTAACATAAGTATTTGCTAGTGCATGTCTCTAAGCAGCATAATAGTTCTGTAGACGACAGTCTTTAACTGACTGGCGTACTTCAAGCTGTTGCCTGCATCAGCTTTCAGATCCTACTGAGTTGCCACACACACAGGCACAACCCTACTTATTCATATTTGTACCTTTGTGTCAAATACCGGTTCCTGATGAGTTTAGTGGCCGGTATTAGAGGTTTTATTATTATTATTATTATTATTATTGTATCATTCAAATTTTTAGTTCATATTTAAGAGTTACACTTTCGCTACAGGAGAGGTACAAATAACAGAGACTGTGTTTGACTACCCCTCTGCTAGGAGTTCACTACCTGTGTTTACTTATTTCTTCTTTATTGTGACATCTTGTAGACCGGCCCCCTGCTTTGTAAGGTTTTTCCATTATTTCTATCTGGAATATACTCCCGTCACCTCATTGAGAGATGATTGCCAATCAGTTGATTACAGTGAGACCTGTCACAGCAAATTCTCATGCAAGAAGGAAATTAAATTTCTTATATTGCAGCCACTTGACTTTTTGGAGTTGCTTTTGTTCCTGGAGATCCCGGTAACCCTTCTAATCCAAGGATATCAGGTCCCATAGTTCATGTAGAACATCCAAAAAATTCAGGAATTAGACTCTCTCTTATGTGCCTTTCAAAGGGTGGACAGCAGGAGGAAGTGTGTGAAATCCAGTGGACACCACTGACTAAGGGAATCCAAAGGCAGGGGCATGTGTATCTACGATGGCACGTGTACAAAAGATTTCAACTCAGGTCAGAATAAGTGACCACTCTCTCAGGAAGCTAAATTAATTCAGATATTATCAAAACTGTTCTTTTGCTCAAAGTGAATCTCAATGACATTTGTTTACTCTTTCATAGTAAACGCATTACACAAGTTACTGGAAAAGAATCATCCTTTCTGAGAAATGATTCTGAGTCAGACATTGGCAATAGTGACAATCAGAATACATATTAATAGAGCGCGTATTTTTGACTTTGAATGACTGTTTCATTGGCCTAAAATATTTTCCACACAAATAATCTCATTTTTATTTATAACATATATTCATCTTCAAGTTATTCCAGTACTGGCAACTCTAGGTTTCAGTTCTAGTTTTCCCCTTTGTTTTCAACGCCTTTGTTTCTGTAGCCTATGCACTTTTCCTGAGATACAAGCAGAGTCATCTTGTCCCTACTGAGTATATAACCAACAGGTTCTTAAAGCAAGCTCCACATACATTAAAGGAGTTGGGAGAGACTGGTGTATCTTTAAACAGAATATAAATTGAGTACAATCTCCAGTTGGTATAGGGAGCATATGTAATATCTTGGGCATACAATGTAGTGTTGCAATAGGAACTTTAAAATCTTTGTGAGGTCAAGAATTGCATGTGCTGCCTGTATTAGATGTGTTCCCAACCAAAAGCTGTAATACATATAGAGCCTTTGAATGCAATTGAATCATCTTGAACTTATAAATGCAAAACATTATAAAAACACAACTGAATCTGCATTTTTAAGAGAATCTTTTAGTTTTGAGCTCACAATGAAGAATTATGTATTATGCTTGCTAATTTTATTTTAGAGAATTAAGGTAACACTCCAAACAAGGGACTGAATGACAGCTGCATGTAAGACTTTCAGGCTTCATCCTACTTTGGAAGCTGTTGTCCACAACTAATTATTGGAGCAGTCATTTCAGACACCTTTGGAAGATAAACTACACTTAAGTGTACGCATAAGTACAACTGCAGATTGTCAGTCAATGCTCACTTCAACTGTTAATTGTCAATAATCTTGATTTATGCTAAGATACTGGCATAATTCTCTAATCTGGATTTGGATGACCGTTACCAACCACCTTGCTTGTCATAGAGATGGAAGAGCCAAAAATTTGAATAACACCTCCTCAGGTGCTATTAAGTCTGAAAGGAACATACAAATGAAGTGTCTTCTAAAAGACAGTATAAATCAAGAGCAGCTAAGAGAATAAGTCGTTCTGATGGTAAAACAGCGACAGGGAGAATTAGTCTCAACCTTTCTTAAACTGAGTGTCTCTGTGTTTTCTGGCTGTCTGGATTTTCTTTGACGGCAGGAGTTCTTTGGAGGACAAGTTTCTAGAATTTCTTTGTAGAAAGGAGAACCAAAATCCAAAATGTAAGTTATATTAAGCAAATATCAGCCAAGCAAAAGTACCAGCTCCTGTAAAAAAAATTGGACAAATTCTGTCAAATGCAGCCCTTCTCTTGAAGGTTGTGGAATAATATTTGTCTAAGAAACTGAGAAAGCAAGTGAGCTTGTGTGATCTGACACAATATTAATGAAAACTGTATTATTGTGAATAGAGGAATGTTGTCCTTTTCAGGAACTATCTCGAGCTGGTGGCCAACTCAATTGAAGACTGGGTGAAAGAGGAGGAAGTCAAATACCAACAAGAGAAGATGGCTAAAGAAAGAGAGGCTCTTACACTGGCAAAAGTCATGGCAGAAGAACCTCTTGAATTTTCTACATCTGCTGTCAAAAAAAATGGCTTCCCTAAGAAAGCCAGAAGTGAGTGTCTTTCCTTTTTTAACCTAGAAAATTGATTCTTAATGTGGAATGCTGAGGCCCAAATCTGTTCAGAGCAGAATCCTAAATATTTTTCATAGCGTTTACTATATCATAATCTGTATAGACATAAAGATGTTTTGAAGATGAACTAAATACATGTACATAAATATTCTGCCTCATCCTCAGTTCTACAGACTCTTAATGTCAACCTTTTATATTTAAAATAGCGGTGTTTATTTAATGGAATTACTCTTGGGATTACATGCAAATTTGAATCTGTATTTAGATGAGTGAGCATAAGAGACGAGTGGTAGTCAGAGCTGGCACCACTATACAGGAAATTCCTTTTTTAAAGGCCGGGAAGTCAGATGCTGTGGACTAGAAGCTAAAACTGGAATCTGGAACTGACTAGACTGCAGAGCAAACTTTAATTACAAGCAGTGTTTTGGATAATGAAAATTGTAAGCAGTTCATACAAAACTGTTGAGCAAGCAACAAAATCTGAAAACTGCTTCTGACAAAAGAGAACTTTTTTCAAAATTCTATATATGTATATGTAAATGGAATTAATAATTTTTTTTCTCATTTAGGCTTTGTTTTATTCACCTTCTTTGAGAATATACTTTGAAATCTTCTAGAGTTAGAAATTAGCATTTACAAAAATAGGAATGTCATTCCTCAAACCACTTAATACTTCTGATTATAGTTTGGAAATGGAAAAGACTGTTAAGGCTTTCAAGTCATAATTCTACCCATCTAGCCGTCACAGGAGCTAGAGCAGGTCTTGCCCATCTGGGTCCTCATTCCAGGTATGGTTCATAAACAAGTTCATTTTCTTGAGGAAAAGAGAGTCTTCTCTGGCTGGGATGTGAAGATGGGCCCCAGTGTCTTCAGATGATCTCAATTTATCAGCACTGTTGTAGCCCTTGCTGCAGTTCTCACTCTCTAATGCAAAGTAATTGGATCAGAAGTTTCTGATAGCGTACTTTACCTTTTCTCTCAGGTAAATATTCCGTATCCAAGCATGGTGTAAAGCCACAAGCCCAGAGAGATACCCTTTTTATAAGTCGTATTGGAGTTACCCTAGCTAAATCGGTACTCTCACAAACACGGAAAACTTGTAAAGAAAGAAGCCAGATTTAAACCAAAAGCCTGTTCCCCTCATAGGTTTTCCATCATGTTCGCTGTGGTAGCTAATTACCATCACAAAGTTACTTATTTTCCTTTTGAGTTTACTGTAAAGTCATAATAATAAACAGAGGATATTGTAAGCATTTCTTTAGTGACTGATTCTGTGAAGGTTCAGACACTATTCGTGTTTTTGACTTGCAAGACTGACATATCTGTGAGTCTGGTATTGGGATTGTTCTGAAGTTTGGTGAGCTGGTTAGAGCATTAAATCTGAATCCTGAATTAATGCTAATAGCAGTAATATTAATAAATACTGCTTAATGTTTATTCAGCATTGCTCCTCTGCATAAAAAACTTATTATGAGGGCAGTCTTCAACAGGAAGAAGCGGGAAGTCAGTCTTTATATATGTTGATGTGTTGTTTAGCATACTTGTTCACCAGTTATGAATACCAAGTAATAGTAATTATCAGATACATTTTTTCTAACCTGAACAGCCTTTCTATTTTATCTCTAAAAATAATATTTTCTGTATTCTACTTTTTAATTTCTATATTTTACCTTTTACTAATTTTACATTTATACCCTTGCTTACTTACTTTTTTATTTGGTTTTCCAGTCTTCTGTTTTTTTAATTATTCAATTTTTGCATGTTTGCAATTATTCCCTGCTCATTTCTCAAAGACAGCACATCAGTACCTGAGAACATCACAGAGACCACTCTAGAATCTCAATCTAACAAAGGAAAGAGTCCTTTTATCAGAGAAGGTTCTCTTAAGGTAAGGCAAAAAAATATGCTTCTGAAATGGACTAAATAACACTGCTCTTTCAGGAAGCCAAGCCTTCGTTGCTATGTAAACTTGTCTTAGTCCTCTTCGTTTTTCTGCTCTTGGCTTATTTTTTGTATACTTTATTTCTTGTTTGCTTTAATTTGTTCCTTATTGGTTGAATTGTATTATTTTCTTTTATTAAGGGGAGACTCTTTGTAGTTAGACTACAGTAATTCATTATCACAGTAGAAGGAAAGGACAATTATGGATAACATCCTAATTTCCTTGAAGTTTTCTGGTCATAAGCTATGAAAACATAAGATCCAGGTTCTTGGAAGTACTTACGTACCCAACTCCTACTTTCACTGTCTAAATCTCTTTGAAATTTAGGAGTGTAAATATGGTACCTTAGAGGTAGGAATTAAGCACAGGTCTTCTAAGTCTTACTATTGGCGTTATCCATTACACTATGTAGACCTATCTTAATTGATGACCTACCTCCCCCGCTTTTTTCTGACTCCTCACAACCATAATATATCCCATCTTCCTTACAGTATATAATGTTCTGCATTTAAAATACTGATATGGGAACACAGATATCAAATGGCATTAACTAATTCCTGGGCACTCAACTTGAGCTGGCCTACCTCAAGTTAGGCTAACGCTTAACATGTGATTTGAACATAAAATGCTGTAGAGCCCTAAATACTCTGGAAAATCTCAGATGTCTTGTGTTGTCTTTCTGATACAAGTTGATAATTTTGACATTGATATCTCATTCCCCTTTCTGTAAAAGAATAAAAGCCTTTTATCTCACAGTTATATTTTGGAAATAAACTAATTTCAGTGATGCATTTTGATATGGCATTGTTGAATAATAATAAGCCTTGTTGAAAAGCGCATGACAAAATGAGTAATTCACTAATAACTGAATGCGTAAGATACAAATAATTATCTAATACCTCTCCAGTGGTCAAGAATGACTGATCCTGTGGCTTGAATGAGGCAATAAATTTATGCAAAAAATAGTACGTAATATTGTAAAACCGTGGGCAAGTTTGAAAAACATGTGAGTGACTTCGCCCAAAGGAACCAAAGTTCCTTTGAGTTTGTTTACTTGTACTCTTTTCAGTATGCACATATGAAATGTCTTATAAACAGAATCACGGTCATTTGAATTCCGACCATTTTATGTAGGCTTGGAAGGAGGAGCAGGATCAATTACTAGAGGAAGAACGGCTTAAGGAAGAAAAAAAAGCAAAAAAAGAAAAGCCGGAAGGTAAAAAGAAAAGGCAGGAAACAGTAGTACCTGAAGAAAGTAAAGGTTCCAAGAAGAAATATTCCAAAGAGAACATTAAAGATGAGCCAGGAAAAGCCCCTGAACCTGAGGAGGATTCCAGCATCCCAGAACCACCTCCTGAGAAAGTTTATAAGGTAGAGTCATAATATTGCACCTCTTTAGGAGAGGGCTAGCTCTAGCCAGTCAAGATTCCAGCTGAATTATCATCCTTTCTGAAACTGGACTACCAAATTAAGCAAAATTATGTCTTGTTTAACTCCATCATTTTAGCAGCTAATCCTTTCCTAAAGTTTTGGAAAGAGCTTTTTGACGTGTAAGGCTATTCTATGTCAGACTGTCGTATTAATTTGGATTTTTTTTTTTTATGTCGTGTATGTGACACGATCGCGAAGATAAGTCAGTCCTATTTTTTTGCCCATGGGTTATATATTCATGGGGTGAATTTTGCTTAAAAATGTGGCTTTCATGGGATAGGGTGAAAAAAGGGATCATAAAGACCTAGTCCAACTGCCTTGTTCCCTTGTTCAGGGATTGCTAAACCTATTACAAGTTTTGACTGTCCACACTGGAATTCAAATAAAAGTTCACTGTCTTTCCCATTTCCTCTTTCAAAGTTCGTGTTCTTAGAGGGCCCTAACACAAGCTATTCTGCCCTTTACACTAACAAAGGGATATTTCTTACAAGGGAACTCTTCACCAGTTGTGTACAGACAGTTTTAAAGGAATTTGCATTGCTTTATATTTGTAGTCTAAGCCTTGTATTCAGCATTGTCATTCCAGTGTTTTCTTGTTACTACAAACCATGCAACTATAAACCTATAAAACAAAACTTCAAAGTTAAATAATGTTTTAGTCTGAACTTGCTTGAGTACACTTATCTAAGTTTTGCCAATTTGTGGCTGTTTGGAAGGCATGGCTTTCTAAGAATCAGATTTACAACATCTAACTTCCAAAATCTAGGTGGTAGAAAACTGACTCTTTATCTGTCCTGTCTGGGATGTACAGATCCCATGGAATAATAGTGCTTTGTCTCTTTGAGCTTGGACAAATTTTCTCGTTCTCTCTCATTATACATTAAGCTACCAGCCTACTTGCTCTTCTTCGATTCCTGTTGATGGCTCCATAGGACTGAAGGACTAGATTCTGCCCTCACTTGTAACAAGTTATTTCAGTTAGTAACAATGAAATGAATTGGCAAGTGTAGAGCATAACATACCATGTATTTATTAAAGCTGTGATTACATTAATTAAATGTCTACAAAAAATGTTAATCAGAAAAGTGTGATCCTGATGATCTGTCCTTTGTTTGCCTCTTTTAGATCTTCTACCTTTATAATTTAGCTATAGTCTAAAACTTCTTTTTCCAGTTTCTTGGCTACAATACAGGGGAGGATCTCATTCAAGTGTCAGGAACCAATCAATATCTTTTCCCATCTGATGGAGGACAGATTCATGTAGAAAAGATAGAATTTGTAAAAGGTAATTCTTTTGTTCTTTATACGCTGTTTCAACTCATTGCTGAATTATGGCCTAGTTTCTTTTTCCATAAATGCCTTTTCACATTTCAATAGTAGCAATTCAGTTAAAGACATTGTGACAGTGCCATATAATTCCATATTAATCTCTATCACTACTAAAGTTTTTATTTTGCTGTGGTATTATAACAATTGATAGATAAAGTATCAAAAAAATTAAAACAGAGAAAAATCAATTCCTATTTATCTGTTCAATGGCAACCAATGCAAGGTATTCCAAGAATGCATGTTGCAATAATTTGTCCAGTCAAATGCAGTGTATCTAAGTAACACGGTTATTCTGCAGCCTATGAGATATCATTGTCAGGAAGTTTTTGAATATTTAGTCTAAACCCAACTAACCTTAATTTTGTCCTCTTGCTCTCCTGCTAAGCAATTCAGTTCACTTTTGAGCAATTTTCTTTTTTTAGCATTTTATAGTTTCAAATGTAGTTTTTTGGGGAGAGTTCTGAAGCCTAGGGGGAGCAATAACTGAATTCTATTGCTTTGCAGGTCTAACTCTGGTAAAGGTGAAGGTGATAAAGGACAATCACAATTTCTTCATTCATATCACAGACCCCAAGAAAAACTTAACAGAAATTGAAGTGCAAGAAATGGGTGAAGAACAGAAAACTAAAGCAGGTTAGTGGGTTAATATCACTGCTAGGCATAATTAATAGTTTGACATATTTAGTAATTGGATGCAAACCTTGTCAAGTAAAATGAGATAAATTTCTACCAATTGCAAAGGGCAAATAGGTTCAATTTTGCAGTAAATAGACACATACTTCCAAATGAAGAATGTGGATAGGACACATTCCTATGTGGATGTTATTGGACATGACTCAAGATTACAAAGATATCAGTCTCTGTGTATGCAAGTGGACTATTTAGCTATTAGTGCTATTCATCAAGAAAACAAAATAAGTAAATGTGAACTGTTTTAGCCACTGCTATTTCTTTTACAACTCACTGACTAGATTTTAAGTCTAGAGAAGATGTAGAAATATTTTTTCAGTAACCACAACTTCAGTTAAAATCCTGTGCTGCCTCTTGGCAGCAGCTGCCACCAACGAAGTAGTAGTAGCCTGGGGTGAACAGAAAATTTGCATTTCTTTTCTGTGCATCTGAAAGTTGTCCTGTATCATTTTGGGGTCTATCAGATGGCACTTTCAATCACAGTGTGCCACAGTCTGAGGCAAGTTGGATTTATTTGGCACCAGCGGCAGGCTTTCCTCCTATGTAGAACAGGAGCCTCCTATAGAAAGGCAGTAGGCAGACAAAGACTCGATCCACTTTGATTCGATGCATGGCAGTGGTTGAATGCTACAGTGGTAAGCAATTGATGCAGTCAGCATGGTGAAGGAACATCTTCCAGATAGTAGTCACCAATGAACATTGCAATGACAAACAATAAACAGGAGCAGCCAAGGTCTTAGCACGTGTACCTTATTGATGGAAGAACTGGGAGGTGGCTAGGTGTTTGGTGCCCACCTTAATTTTCTTTAGCGAGTCTTCGCTGCTGCTACTCACAATTTTGATAAGCTGCTCTCAAGGATCTCCTGGTACCAGCAGAACCTTTCCTTAAGGGGAATAGAGATTGAGCTAAAAGCAAAATAGGATACAGTGTCTCTGAGCTGTTATCCTGGGTGGTTCATGTGGTTTTCAATGATCAAGTACTCATAACGTGGCATTTCTTCCCCCACCCCTGCGTGAGGATTTCTTCTGATCAGCTTGCACTAATGCCAAAGCTGGCCTAGTTCTTGTACTTGAGATCCAAGAGTATGCAGATACCTTTGGATCTAATTTCTGAACAGCTTTTTCTCCTTTCTTTTACCTTCTCCTTAAGGTACGTTTCCTGTGACAATATCTGAGAGACAGTAATTTTCATTATTGCATATGCTGTATATGAGAGGAAAGAGCAGTTTAGTCTTCCTGTTGGTGAGGTAGCCCATGTGCAGATAGGGGAAAGAACAAAGGACCATTGACTCCAGACCTAGGATCCTTTACTGTTCAAATTCAGAAAGACTTTTCACTGGTTGATGCTATTAAACCAATTCTTACATACCTCATTGATCAGAATGCAATTTGTAAATGAAGAACCACAGCTATATTACACAAAACGTTGCCCTGCGAGTGGGATGGCAGGCAATGCACCATAGGGATCACCCTCAGTTTTCCCCAATCCCTTATTAATCTATTTTAGAAGTTAGTCATCCACATTGAGGTGCCATTGTTCACACCAGTCACTGGTTTGCAGGTCAGATGGTTCTGGTATGCATTGCTATCTTTAAAATTAATTTTAATTTTATTAAAGGAAAATTGAAAAATCAAAAGAAAACTGTGAGCAAGTTTGGATCCTTTTCAGCCACCTTGGAAAATGGAATCCAGCTGTCCTTGAGCTATTATGGACCTACAGGGAAGACAGCAGGTAAAGTAAGCAAATAGAAGAGGATATTTGAGAACCATAGGGGGAATTCTTTTTTTCTCTTTTTCATACACCCCTTAACTCAATAATTTGTTGCATGCAATTCTGCCTTTCTCAACAGCTGTTGCTACATGGCGGGGAATTTTCAGCAAGACTTGAGATGAGATTACATTGTCAAGAATATTTTATGTTTCAATTTTCAAAATGGAGGGAGGTCTTCATGCTTTTTTTACTTACTGTGAAAACACAGCAGTGCAGGGAGAAACTTGCAAGTATTGTTATTAAGTAGCCCAGAAAAATCAGTCAATTAATTTGAGCCAAAGAAAATGTGATTTGCTGAGGAGTCTTCTTGGCTTTCCAAGAAATAATATTTTTGTTAACTTATATAGGTGATTATGGAACTTTTCATTTCATGTTAGGACTTGGACTTTAGGTTACAGTTGTGCAGACATAATGAGGGATTTCTCTCAGCCTTTCAATAAACACATTCAGCAACTGGAAGCAATTGCTTCACAAAACCACAGTGAAAATAGCGTCTGCTTTTACCAAGAGCTTTTTGTTTCCATTACATTTGAAAGGCCACTGAAACCATCATACGGATAAAAGTGAAACCCTTCTCTGATCAGAAAATAATCCCAGTATTTTTTGGCTCTTGAAATACAAAAACATCATGCGTCTTTGTGAGGACTGTGGTAAACCGTTTGACTATACACTCAGTTTTAATTATTCAAATACATTTTTCAAATGAATTACTAAAAAAGAACTTTTTAAATTTTTACCAAAGAGCATCCACACTGTAGTGGACTGTAAAAACTCTTGTATTATGGCATAAGAGAGAGACATGTCTTATTAAACACCTTTGTATCATCTGTGATATTCAGAGTTTTTCACTTGTACCATAAGCTTCCTACTCTACGTTAGAATCTTCACCATGTTGAGTTTTAGTGCAGCACTGCTGACTGGCATTCCTTGATTGTTTGCAGTTTTCCTGTAATTGCTTGCTTATGCCTACTCTCCCCTTGGGGTATTTGTATCGCAAGTACTCAGAAAAATTCTGACCAAAAAATCTGGCTTAGACTATGGTCATACAGCATCCATCCCTTATGCAGAACAGTAAGACAGGCAATCCATAGTTCCTGTCCACTAACTGGTTAAATTGGGCAGAAATCATTCATTTTCCCTGCATTACCGAAATTATTTTCTGGAAGATCTCCAGTTCTCATTTTCTCTCTTACATCTTCCTTTTTGGGAAATTAAGATGATGACAAAATGCCTCTTTTTTATTTCTTAGTTTAATTTTTAGTGTTCATTTAAATTTGTTTTTTAATTATTATTTGTTTTCTCTAGCATGACCAAAACCTAACTTCAGGCCCACCTTACAGCCAGATTTAGAAGCAAGCTCTTCATCACTTTGTGAATCTGGCATTGCATGATAACCTGTGAGGCTTTTGCCTCTGGATATTAGATAACCTTTGCACTTGCTCTTTGAGCCTTTGATCAAATTAGGGCAGTACAACTTCAAATGTTAGAGATCTGCACTAAGGAACCTGAGATCCTAGAGATCTATGTTAAGGAAACCTTCCTTAATCTGACAGCTCTCTAGAGTTTCACTCTCTCAGTATTTCTAAGAACACTTTCCCTCAATCACAACAATCTACTTTTTTTCATTATTACCCTCAGGCACTTTGTGTTCTCATTCTTCAGGGCCACCAGAGTAAATGGGTAGGTGAGATTCCTGTAGGGGCCAAGAATCCAACTGCCTATAACAGCTCTTATTCCTAAATTCAGCACTCTGGAAAGTAGTTTCATCCAAACTGAGCATGCTCCACTTCACAGCATGGATGCTTGATAGCTCCCCTAACTATAGGTAAGAGTGTGTTCATAGATAAAATTAGCTTGCACCTGGTTTGCAGAGTTCTCACTGATGTGTATACTTACCTGACAAGATGGACCACATTCACTAGTGATTTTATAAGTTAGTTTTCTCAGAGTCCTTCATTTCAGCCATCCTACTTCTGCTTCTCTGTGGAACAATATCTCAGTCAAAGTTTTCTGGTTAGCCATTGTCCACATGTAGAGGGGAACCACTGCTTGTTTATTCCACGGCCATGCTAATAAATTTATATCAGCATAGCCCCATGGAGAATTTTAAAACTTTTCCTATTTTGTATAATTAGCTGAGATTTTATGGCTAACGTATTACAAACAAGACAGGGTTTTTTTGCCTTTTCTCAGGCTTCCGAAAGCCATAAAAGCCTTGCAGCATGAAAGTCAGTATCTGAGAATAGAGCCACCTAACAAAGTGTCAAATTCACCTGTTTCAGTCATAGCGCGACCTAATGGAAATGAGGATTTCTGAAGTCTGTGTAGTGATCTAACATTTCCCTTCAGACTAAACATCATGGATACATTCAGATATCAGTGCATTTCCCTAATACTGGCACCAAGATAAAAACTCAAGCGGGCATCTTGCTTCCCATGAACTCCAGCTTATCACTAGCCGATCTAATAGTTCTTTCTAGCCTTAGATTCTTAAACTTTGAGTCACCTTGCAGTTCCAATAAATCCAGAATCATTCATAAGGCAAATGTTTCTGAAAGTGCAAGCAGCCTTTCTAGTAGTTTAGAACTTTATTTTTGAGGTGGCTTCTGCATTTTCTTATCTGCAGTGACAGAGCATTTATGCCACAAGCATTCTGGAAACAGTGGGAGTGGACTCAGCCCTGCCTCTTTTCTTGTTCAGCCAAAGGTATACTAACACTTCCTCTGCAGTACGGAAGATGCTGTGATCTCACACTTAGGATGGTTCTGTTAACATGCTTCTGTATGCATTTCTTTCCTTCTTTGTCTGGATGTGATTTTGCTTGTAGTTTGTCAATGACTTAGGTAATTTTTTTGCCTGATTTATTAATTTTCACATTTAAAAACATTGTTAATTGAAAGAAACAGAACTAAACCAAAATTCTGCCAAAACAAGAAAAGGTTTTTTGGAAGTCTTCCTAAAGACGCTCTTGCAAAGAACTGTCTTGCTGCCGAACTTCATAATTCTAGGAACTGCTAAGTCAGTCAAGCCATTTATTTAAATAAAAAAGATATTCAGAAGCTGTTTTCTGAGATCCTCATGCTTTGCTCACTGATATTTTCAGTTCTGATCTATATGAGTGTGGTTAAGATATCGATAATAAGTTGCTCTATCTCAGGTAACAAATTTTCCAAAACAGACAAGAATGCAATTGCTTGAATTGTCTGGATGAGAAACAACCTGTTATTTCATGAGTTTGTAGGCTTGGAACTTAAGCTAACTTCGAACCAGGAAAGATGATTAAAAAATGTATCAAGAAAACATTAAGTTTAGAGCTGACTGACTAAAAACAAATATCAGTTCACTGAAACCAAAATGTGTTATAAAAAAATTTAATTTATTTCATTTCAATACAGAATTTTGAAAGGCAACATGGCTGATTTCCTCACAGCATGCTAAGCAGCCTGCCCTAATGCTTGGCCTTTAAGAATTGGGAGAGTCTCAGCAAGACTATGTCATCAGAATCTTTCTGGGTCATTATAGCAAAATGAAGCTATGTAGCCTGGAGCCTGCTGGAGTCGGTCTGTGCTGAATCAGTCTATGATAAAGCATAATAACACTGATCTTTTCCTAGACGTTAGACTCAAAATGTCCCCATGTATAAGTATTCTAGAGGTAAATTGAACAAAAAAGTTATTCTCTATTTTTGAGAGACAAATGATGAGCTATGGGAAGCAACAGTCTCAAGAGTCCTTTTTCATTGATGAACAGTCCATCTACAGAAAGATTTTTCCAAATAATTTCATATACTCAGTCCCTGTATCTGATGCCACTGATGTTATTATTTCTAGGATAAAACTTAGTGTATACAGTTTTGTCAAAAACAGAATGGGCCCATCTACATATATGAGACTTTAGTTTACTGCTTTTAAAATATTGTTTTTCCCTTCTCTAGAAGATGAAACAGATCCTGACTTAGCAACAGTTCTGAACATCCCCTCTGTTCATATTCCAACTGTTGTTTCTTCTGCTGCTGCATCAACTTCAGCAAAAAGCCATAAATCAGTCAAACAGAAATCAGGAAAATCCCTGCCATCTACAAAAGGGAGCCATAGCAAAATAAGCCCTCCACCACCGGAAGACCTTGTAAAGCAGGAAGAAGGAAAGGTGAGAGAACAGGTGTTATCCAATGAATGCAGACATTAATTAAACATCCAAACAATGCCAATATATAAAGTTAGGTGACAGAAACATGTTCTTTTGAGAGCATTGAGCTGTGCCTTTACAAATGCCTAACAATGTATGTTGCTTCTAATGGAACATTTTACTCTTTTCATTTGTTCACAATTGTTCGTGTTGGCAGTTGCTAATGCAGCTAGCCTTTAAGATTCTGTAATGTAAACCAGTGTGTCTTGCATGGTCCATGTATTTGTGTCCATTTTGGCCTTACAGTTGCACATGTTACAATATTAACTCACTGACTAGAACGGCTCTAGAAATTAATTTTTAGTTAATCAAGTAGGAGGACTTCTCCATGCTTTCCAGAACCTGTGTTGGAATGTCTTTAACCAAACAGTAATTCAGTTGAGACAATTTTGCAAAAACTTGGTCTGCAATTTGATCCTTTGCAGCTGGAGACAAGCCAGGGATCCACTGAGTCAGTTGCTTTTGCCTAGGGCTGGAGTATCTCTATGGCAGGATAGGCATTTGGAAAGAATGGATGACATTTCAAAAGCAGATTCTGAATTTCTAGTATGGGGCAAGTAGCGCAGAGTAATACAGAATTTGCAGGAGCCTGTGGATCAGAAATAACCAGCAGTTATCTTGAACTTCTTCCACAGGTCTCTTTTTTAATGTTTTTTTTTTTGGCATTAAAATATGTGAGTGGGGGAGGACATATCTATTCAGAAATGGGTCACGGTTCACCTCTGCAAGATGACAAACCTGAGTTATATCAGGTCATTAGCTAACTATTGGCAGAATATTTAAGGCAACCGCAAGAGGTTTGCCTGGTCCAGCAGTCTCACAGACCAGCCAGGGTATCACTTACATGAAAAGTTCTCCAAGGATTGGGTAAGGAAGTATGAGCAGGATGCTGAAAGTGAATGCAGGAGTTTCCCATTTGAACTGATTTGTTCTCTTTTCTGTTTTGACACTTTTTTCTCCAAACAACGCTTGATAGAAGAGGAGAAAGAAACATTAATAATGTTGAGAAGCAATTTAGTCAACACCAACTCAGTTTAGGACAAGACAATCTTCTGAAAATAGGCGTAATCAAAGTACAAAGCAATGAGGTCCATGAACATTTTCACCTAACACTAATGCCCTAAAATATACTGTCTGGGATAACTCTTTAATGCTAGTTATGATAAAAAGCTATCCTTTTTAAGCTGAGTGATCAAGTTATATTAAAAGTAGCATTTCTAGATGTGTGCTTAGGCTTGTTAAGTATGATTCTTAATATCTTTACAGACTTACTGCAAAGCCTATAGTAGTATATATTTAAAGCATATAGTAGTAGTATGTTTTTATTTTCCCCACGCTTGGCTCCATCTTTAATCAGATATGGCTGAAATGATGCAGAAAAAACTGCTAGTTGAATGTCCTGGTTCTCACCCTCAACCAAATTTAACACCAGCCTGCTGCATGTAATGTTTTTCATGACATCTTTTTCCCCCAGTAACCCAGTCATTCCTCTCTCTTACTTGCTGCTTCTTCCATAGAGTGGTGGGTAGCATATGAAGAGAGTGAGTGGTGGCACCAGGCAGTAGGTCTGCTATCTGTTCCTGCTCTGTTTTCTCTTTTGTTATGCTCCCCAGCATATGTTATTTTCCATGGAAAATTAACACGAGTCCATCCAGCTGTGGTGTCTTCCAGTTCCAAAAGCATGAAATACTACTATTCATGAAATATTTCATGAAATAGTACTTCACTTCTTGTTACCATTTTCTTGGATACTGCCCTGGAAGGCTTTGATGAGCTTCTGGTCTAAAGATCTGATCATCTCTTTTTCAGAACTATGTCTTGATCTTTTTTGTATTCTGGTTACTCTGTCTGCATCTCTCAAAATCACCCTTGCTATGACCTCACCAGAGGTTTATCAGGTATCTTCTGTGCTCCCTTGGCAAGTGAGTGGTAGGCTGAGTAGACATCATCATCATCCTTTTAGCAGAGCTGGGCTGAGCTGTACAAAGGAATGGAATGGGCAATATGGAAATGAAGGGTTAAATGCCAAGCAGATTTATTCAAAACAGAAGATAGCTTCCAGTACACACGAAATGGGGGAACTGAGTAATTAGAAAGGCAAGAATCAACAGGTGCTGATAACTGTAAGAATAGCCTTGGAAGATTCTCTAAACACAAAATAGGTATGCTGCTTCCATGGTACCTAGTGGATGATGTAATGCTGCGGCTCTTGATTCAACATGGATTCTGTCCATACCCACAAACAGTCCTGCTGACCTAATTTCAACAAGTTTAACTAGGTATTTAAAAAGCTTGAGGATGGAAAGAGGGGTAGAGAGTTGCCAGACAACACTCAGCACAACATACGGCAATTGTACAGTACAAACAAACCCTACACAAAGAAATCCCTCTACCATTGAAGTCTTTCAAGGGGACATCAATAAGTTCATCCTCTTCCTCCAAAAGGCTTTTTACTGTTTGCTTTAGAAAGTCTGGGGTCCAGTAATTTTGGTGTTTTAATAAAAACTCTGAAAGACAGAAAGTATCCTTATTAGTGTAAATGGTAGCAGAGTCTGATAATCTGCAAGTATCGTGGAGGACAGGCTGAGAATTCAAAATAATCTTGACAAATTAACAAAGAAACGGTCTGAAAAAGAGGATGCAGTTCAGTAAGAATAAGTATTAGGTTCTACAATTATATGTAAATAATCAATATATAGATATAGAACGGGTAACAGTTCTATCAGTAAGAATTCTGCAGTGAAAGGTGTGGGAGTTGTAATGAATCACAGGCTATACGTAAGTCAACAATGCCATCTTGCTGTGAAAAGGGCAAACACCATACTGAGGTGAATAAACAGGAGTATAGGCTGGAAAATACATGAACTAATTCTTCCATTCAGGGCTGGTAAGGCCTCAGCTGTAGTAGTGTGTTCAGTTGTGGACACCTCACTGTGACAAAAATATGAGCCCTGTTGTGGAGCGTTCAGAGGAGAGCACCAAAAAAATATTAGAGGTCTAGAAAACTTGACCAGTGAGGAGAGATTAAAATACTTGGTTTGTGTTTGTTTGATCTGGAGTTGGGAGACAGGATAGCCTGCTGCAAAGTTAAAGGAACATCATCACCTCTTACGCTTACCCATATAATCAGAAGAAATTAACTAATCTTCTGCAAGAGAGATTCAGGCTAACTAATAGGAAAACGTTGCTAATGTTAAGCAAGGTAAAGCAGTGAAATAGCTTGCCTAGGGAAGCTAGGAAGCCTCCAGCCCTGGAGACTTTTAGAACAGATTAACAATTTTCTCTAATAATAACAATTAACAATTTTCTCTAATAATATGCCTATACTTCATTTTTTACCATTAGACAGAGAGAAACAGTTGGTGGCCACTGAAGGTTACCTTTATCCTATTCTGTGCCTTCTACCCTGTGATCCTGTGACTATAATATCAGGAAACTGAGGATATCCTTAATGAGCCAGTGCTACAACATAAAGTAGCCATCAAATATACAGTATCCAATATGCAGAAAAACAGGTGGTAAAATACCTACAGATTTCTCCCAGGGGAATCCTGCAGAATTTTTCTAATACTAGCTAGTCTCCTCTGCATGCAGTGAGACTCCATCTTTAAACGCTGCAGCAGATTTCAAGGATCATTCTACTATTCTTAGAAGTCAAGAATGTAGGATAATACCAGGACTAGTTCTCTCTGCTACATCTGTCTGCAACCCAGCATTGATTGTTTTCATCTTACAACCACTAACGTAGTGTAGTTCATTTTCTCAGGTTTTGGGGGGATTGATATCAAAGGGTCCATTGTCGTATTCTTCTCAAATGTTCCAGGATCCTCAAACATTCCCTAGGTCATCCTTATCTTTTCTAGTTATCAGGACAGCTTCCACCTTCTGAGCAGTGCAAAGATGATTACATCTTTTGACTGCCCAGGATTCCTTCCAGTCCTCTTCTCAAGTCAATGCTGTATTTACAGCAGGCTGGAAGTACTGCTCTGCTTATCCTTTATGCTATTTTAATGACTGTAGGTGAAATAGCTGGTGCAAGTTCAATAAGTATTTCACTCCCTCCTACCTCACATTTTCCATTTACTGTCATCTCACTGTGATGTTGTGTACAAGATCAGCTCAGCAAAATGAAAACAGTTAGGAAGAATAAGATAGCACAATCAAAGAAAATAAGCTAATGTTTCCACTTCAGAATGCATAAGCTCTCAAACTGATTAAAATTAGTAGTAGAAAGCTCCTTTTTGAAATGTTTTGGTACAACTGAAATCTGTAGTCTAATTTTTTTTTAATTCTTTTAAAATTTGGAATAAAACTAATTCACATTTCATTCTGTAGGTGGAAATGGAAGAATCAGCTTCACAAACACAAGTGACATTGGATTCTCTTGCTTTTCCAAGTTTGAACGTCTCCTGTCCCAATGGGCTAGTACTAACTTTCCTTGTTGAAAGTTTTGAAGGTTAGTTCTCTGAACCACTGTAGAATCAGGACTTCTTAAAGAAGTTAAAATTACAGAAGAAAGTGATTTCTGCCTTGATGAGTTTATATGTAACAAAATGAAGTTTTTAATGTCTCAGATTATTAATTCTGTCATAGTGTCTATTTAATAGTAATCTCGACATAAACAGTGTGATTTAATGCAAACACGTAAAACCTGGGACTGCAAGTTGTTGAACATAACAGATTGGGGGACAAGGAAGCAGCAACCCTACAAAGAACTTGGGAGTCATGCTGGATAATAGATTGAATGTGTGTGTGTGTTGGAATACTAATGAAAATGAGCTAGTTCAATTTGTAAGTGTATATACAGAGGAATCTTGAATGACAATAGAAATTATCTTATGTTATCTGTATCTGCACCTTCTTTGGAATGTACATCCTGTTTTCTAATGTTCATATTTGGAAAGATTCAGGGAAGAGTAGCAAGAATGATTAAAGGATTGGAAGACATGTCTTATAGTGAGCACATGTCACCAGAGAACCCAGTCTGTTTATCAAAGTAAAGGTCCAAGGGTTAACTGGTCCTAGCCTAGAAGTAACCCGCAAAGGAAACAAAATCTTGATAATCGCTTGTAAACACAGCATACAAAGATATTACAAATTTCAGGGGCCTGGAAATTGAAGAGTGGTACTTTTACACTAGATTTAAGATTTACTCATTTTTTAATGTTTGTTTTAATAGTCTGTGATAGATTCTCTGCTACTGGATATTTTAAAACCAGGTTTAGTTTCTTTATTAAAAGATATGATCTGTTTCAAACAGGAATTACTTCAAATTCCTTTGGTATATGCCATCCAATATGTACTGAAAAGGTAGTCGTAATAACCCATTCTGCCCTTATCTGTGGACTTCATTTTGAAGACTGCTCAATTATGTAGACACTTCTAAGCTTCTTTGTGTGACAAATTCTTCTACAATGATTCAGTTTTGCAGTATTTTTGAAAACTAGCAGGAGGTCTTTCAGTGCCTATGTGCAATAGATCTATCCATTCCAGGCTGTGTTGGAGCTACTGAGTATGTGAAAATAGATCAGCACAAGTGCAGAGGTGCCAGTGTGTCCAGCAACATACCAGATTTATCACACATGCCAATTACATGCTTTCAGTAATTCCAAAACATCCTGTGTGTGAGGTATGGCATAAAAACCATCAGAATCACTTGTATTCCTGGCAACTGATGAAACAACGGTAATATCATCCTGCTCTCTTAGAGATCGGCTAAGTGGCAAGTTTGGTATATATAAATTTAATAAAAAATAAGTAATTTGTATTAAATAGTATTAATAAATGTAGCATGGTACAAAAGGCTCCAGCACAAATTTATTATCATGTGAGAGAGGAACGTCATGATTTTTTTGGTCACATAGACTAGAATTACTAGAAAAAGCTTCCCTCACTTTTCTTCTCAGACATGCCTTCCCTTTCCATATCAAAATTTTTTAGCAGTTTGGGATAAATGTGGTCATGTAATCTGTTTTGAAGTACAGTAGAGAAGATGCACCGGGTTTTCAAACATACACAGTTTGGCAAGGAGCTTATGTTGAAATACTGAATAGCTGAGGTGAATAGAGTAGTTACGGATGCATATATATGCTCTTTTAGCACAATTACTTATTATATGTATTAGCAAACTTTACACACTGCCATAATTTATTCTAAGCAAATTCTTTGTTCAGGTCAGACAAAATATGTAACTTCAATTTCTACAGTCTCAGACTTGGTGGACCTCAGTAACTTTTTCATCATTGCAGACAGTTAAGAAATTCCTCTCACCTATCTTTTGCCTTCTAAAATTTCACTGTACTAAATCCAGTGTCAACTTTCCCTTATTTTCATTTGGAAAAGAGAGGCACTTCCACAGGACGATGCAGAGTTTCTGAGTAGATATCTGCTTTGAATTGTCCTCTGAGAAGGAGAGACTGTCCTTCACTGAATGGATTAAAGAGGGAGGTTTGTCTCTCTGCCTTAAAATTGAATACCTTCTATAGACATTGTAATGCTGGATGTTTAGCAGTGTTTGAATGTCTGCTGCTCAGTATTAAGTCATTCAGAATTTGTTTTCAGATTTGAAAGTTGAAGCCACTACAGCTGAGGCTAAGAAAGAGGCTGGAAAGGAAAGTGAAGTCAAAGCCAATGAAGTGAAGGAAGAGGAGGCTGAGAAAGGTGAGGCCAAAGCAGATGAAGGCAAGGAAGGGGAGATCAAGAAAGGTGAAGCCAAAGCAAATGAAACCAAGGAAGAGGAGGTCGAAAAAGATAAGGCCAAAGCAAGTGAAGCCAAGGAAGAGAAGGCTGAGAAAGACAAGGCAAAAGTGAATGAAGCCAAGGAGGAGGAGGTCATGGAAAGTGCAGTGAAGGAACATGAGGTTACAGAAGATGAAATGAAGCAAGAAGACAGCAAAAGAGAAGAGGCCAAGAAGCCTACTCTGGAAATTCTGGTTAGGCAGAGTCATCCCCAAAAGATAAAACACTCTCATCTATATGCAACAGTGGTAAAGCAAGAGGTGTCAAGAATCATCACCAGTCAAGGAACTGTCATAAAGTATATGATGGATGGATCTACCCAGGTACGCTTAATAGAATTCATTGGAAGCAGCTTGCATGTGATCACCCTTAAACATGTATTTTCCAGCTGAGATAGAAAAGTGTCCACTTTGTAGAGGCAGGAGGTAAGTAACCATTGAGCTATGCAGCAGTACCAAGTCTAAAATCTTCCTGGCTTTATTCAGAATCAGAACTTGAGGCACCTGAGGAATTTTAATGATGAAAATTTTAGGCATCTGTAAATTTTAGGCAACCTTGGGATTAAGAAGTACCCGAGTAGGGTTTTGAGAGCTATATTTCTGGACTTAAACATCTCAAGTGTGAATTAGTTGGGAATTAATTGGGCTTTGTGCATTCTTGGCATGATTCACAAAAGAATCAATATATTTTTTCAGTAATCTAAACAGTCATACATGATCCAGAAATGACCTGAACAGTTCTGCAGTCCTGTTGACACAAGTAGGCATTTTAAATTTTCATTGAAAGGATTCTTTATATTTCCAAGTGCTGCCTTTGTTCATACATATTTAGGCTACCAAGATTTCTGGCACATTTTAGGTGCTGCGGGCTAGATAGATACCATCTCTGCAGATACTGCAATCAGTGTACTCGCAACCATCTTTTTAAAGTATAAGACTCTATGTGCAGTTGGCAAACAGATTAAAAGAGGGCTCAGAAACTGCCAAAATGACTGCTTTAGTTCCTCAAGTCTTTTTACAGTTTAAGTAGACTACAACTCCTAGTACAAATGAGGATACATTGCATTAGATCTTAAACTGATGACCGAGGATCTCTGAGAAATATATCCATTAAATTAACATGCAAAGAAGCTAGTTGCTATTAGTGTGTATATTCACAAGATACTGTCTTCTGACAGAATCTAGATCTCCTGCTTCTAGCATAATTATACCACAGTCTTTGTATAAGCAGATTCTGAGTGCTTGCTTCTTTATATTAACTTGATGTCTGTGAGTCATCAAGAGTAAAATGCATATAGACAAGCACGCAGAAAAGAAATGGTTAATTGCATTACAGTAACTGTCATTCTTGGGATATGTCTATGTGTTTTTCATTAGTTTTCCACAATGTGCCATCCTTCTCCTTACAACATCTGTATTCAGTATTTGCAGATGAATTTAGAGATGATTGGGGCTATTCTAGGCTTTTTCTACCACATAAGAACACGGAGGATGCTGAGAATACTCAAACAGATATTGCCCCAGGGAACATGCCTATCAAGAGTTGAATGTTAGGGACAACATATCTCAGAAAACAGTTATAATAAGATAAATAACCATGACTTCTTCTGTTAGCCATTTTGGTGGCTAAAAATCAGACAACAATCCTAGAAATTTGCAGTACCTGAATAAAGATCAATATGGTGGTTCAGGTGTATTACCACTGCTAGAAAATGTTATAATCAAAAAAGCCGTCGACATTTGACTAATTATTTAGAATTATCTTTACTCTTTTCTTTTATAATGCCTATTTATTACTAAATAGAATCTCTGTTGATTACATGTGGACTGCAGCAATTATTAGTCCTTCCTTTTTGTGAGAGTTTCTTTATTTTCTTCTATTGATTATGAGTCTCTTTCTTACTTTTTTCCCCTATCACCCACAATATTCTAGTACGTGCTGTATTTGCTCCATACTCTTTTGAGACTTTCTGTTATTACTTGAAATAATTTTAGCCTCTAGTATGTCTTTGGTTTTGTATAGATTCTGTTTGCTGATGGCACAGTGAGTACAAGTCCTGATTCTGGCCCTGTCCTACCACGACCTGTAATTCCAGATAACACCCAACCATTACCAGAATCAGAGCCTTTGCCTGAGACCAGCACTAAGAAAGGTAACATCTCCATAACTTTAGGCAAATTTAAAATTAGCAGGGGCTAAAGGTGTTTAATAAGGGGTATTTTTCTTTAATCTGAAAATTCTGCCAGATGTGAAAATGCAGCTTTGTGTGCTCAACTGTTGTACGCTGCTACTCTGTTACCTTCACAGGAGGTCAGTTTTCTTACATTTCAGCTCTCTTCACACATGCAAGGACTCATAAATAAAAGGGTTTGTGAGAACTACCTCAGTAGCAGAGTGATCCAACACAAAGTATTTTAAAAGAAGTCCTTGTACCTACAGTAGTCGGCTGTCCTTATTTATATGTTACACAGTTTTTACTTTTGGTTTTGAGAAAAGCTCCTCTTTAAAAGGAGAGTATATCACAAAGGACTTGCTATATTTTTCCTTCACGTTATATGTATTCCTAGACACCCACTATTGGTCATTATCAGTTGGTTGGATGGATCTGTGGTCTGTCCTAGTATAACCATTCTTATGTAATTAAGTTTTTGACAGAGAAAGAACCAAGTACAAGTTTACATCATACCTCAGAGCATGGTTGCAGATAAAAGAATTATTATGACCAGTAAAAAGAATTGCTATGACCAGTCATAGCATTTCACTGGATTTCAATGGCTCCTATAATTTCATTGGATCTGCTTTGGAAGTGTATGAACAAAAATTGCTGCCAAATAGAAAAGTCTCTCAGAAAGAGACTTCTGACTCATCAAGTCCAGTCCCCTGTTCTTAGACTATTTCCTAAGATATCTGGAAGGATATTTGAGAACTTCTCTGAGAAACAATCTTCTGATTTTTGGTCTCCATATCTGTGGCAAGTTCGTATCCTTTATTCCTTATCCGGTATTAATATTCACCTTTCCTCTCCTGTGCTTAGTCTTGATGAATTTATAGTAAACACTCATATATCTGTTTTGCTTTTTTTTTTTTTTAGGATGTGTAAACTGTAACCCTTTTAGACTCCTCTCTGGATCATCCTGCTGTCCCCTAACTAGACTGTTAGTCTAGTTAGAACTAGACTAACTACACTTAGTCTAGTTCCTTTTCTTAGACATGGGTGACCAGAATTCCCTGTAGTATTCTTAATGAGATCTCTCCGTTACCTTTCACTATAGAATCTCCATCTCTCTTCTGGCTCACCGTAGGATTGCACTTACCTTTTTGTCGTTGTTTTTTTCACAATGATAACCTGTAGTCATCCTGTGTTTGACTGGTACCTCCAGGTCTTTCTCCTCTTCTACTGTTGCAAACTGTCTGAAGCAGGAACTATTTTTATTAGTCCTTATTGCATTAAACTTAATTCTACTAGGTTTTATCATATTCCAATTATATTAGTCCTCAAACTTATTTACGGGATAGTTTTGGGTGCTTTTTCCCCTATAAGCTGTTCAGATTCTCTTTTGCATTGATGGTGCCTTCCAATGTCATGTCATAATCGGATTTCATTAGCATGCTCTTTACTTTTTCTGCTGTGGTCATTGATGAATAAATTAAATAAGATTGGTCCAAGGACACCATCTTTGAGTAACAGCTCCTATAACTTCCCTACAACCTGATAAATAGTTCTTTCAACACTGCCATGCCAAAGCGAATGCTTGCAGAAACTTTTCAGTTTACTGATTTTTGTCTTTTTCCTTAGAGTCTGATGCAGAAATATGATACAAGTCTGACACAGAAATTTTTGTTTCTGCAGGAAAGGGCAGCCACAGAAACAGTTTGTCACACCCAAACAAGGATGAGTTGTTTGAAAATGCTGTTAATATTGAGCAACCTAAGGAGAACAAGTCAGGAACCTGGATAACAACAACCCCTTCAGGCTTTCAAGTGGGCACTGAGGAAGCAAAGCGAATGGATCTAAAGCCACTCTTAATCTACCAGGCAACTGACCCAGCTGATGGAACGGTACTACTATTTTTGTGTTATAGTAGCACTGTCTACTAAGCTAAGAGACATGGCTGCTAAGTGTTGTAGAACTTTTTTACTGAACAAATATCCTTCAGGTGATGTTATTGTACAGTTAAAAATACAAAAGCTTTAGATTCAGTAGAAATTGTGAATCTTCAGTCTTTCAAACAGAAAAAGTTGTAGTGGCCTAGCTTCTTCAGAGTTTCGGTAGGTAATGCCTTGTGTTACTGATGACGCTGTTACAGGTATCTCAGTGCTAAAGTAAATCAGTAATCCTTTATTCTATCAGATTATGACTGTACGAGACGATGCAGTGATAATGGTTGAGAAGCTGGATGGCAGCAGAGTAGTAGATCATGCTGATGGTACCAGAATCACCACTTTTTATCAATATTGTGAAGAACTTTCTGTACCTCAGGATAGTGAAGACACAGGTAAAATCAAAAGGGGAGCACCTCTCTGCAGTATCTTGTGAAGCAGATAATTATCAGCATATACTAAAAGAGGCACATACTGATAGCATAGGTAACAAATCCAATAATACAGTCTGGGCTCAGTCTGCTTAATCTTTTTTCGATCAGTATTCAGTGCAAAAATTTCATTTTAGCTAGCAAGCAAATTTCCTGCTTTCCATGTGTACACTTACATGACCTATCTGCACCATGAGACCACAGTGCCTGCTATGACTTCTTAAATGTTCATTGCCCTCTCTCCATCTTCCCTCATACCAGCAAGTAAGCTGATTTGATTCTTAACCAAATAGGTGTATGAAGACAAGGCATCCTCAGATTCCCCAGAGTATATGTATCCTTGAAGATACTCAAAATGTGACTGGATTGACTCTGGAAAATGCCACACCAATAGAAGTGAAACTTATATTTGCCTGAAACAAGTGAGGCTGTCAGTATATTCTGTATGTTTGGTTCATCTGATGGACAAATTTTGTCTCCTGCAATTAACATGGAGCGTATATTTACTGGGTGGTCATCAGGCCTATTGTGTCCAAACACAGTAGGAAATTCTGGTTGTGTAGAAGAAGAAACCTACTCAGGTGGACAGGAATACTTCCCTGAGAGATTCTAAAAATCAAAACAATGGCCTGGAACTGATCTCCCTATTCAATCTGACAGTAGCCAGATTAGCATATCAGTTTGATGTATTTTCCATGACTGGTGCTACTGAATAGGAATTCCTTCACATTTTAGTACTTGTATCATGAGCATAAGGAATTTCAGTGGTCCAGACTGTATGTTACAAATATCCAGATCGATCATTCTGGTTAATACTGTGTTTGGTAAAGTTGAATATAATCTCCTGGCCAGGTACAGATGGTCACAGACATTTTTTGCTGTTGAGTTTGCCTATGTTAAGTGTACAGTACAAAAATTTGAACGTTGTATAACATAAAACTATGAAAAAAGAGATTTTATGAAGAAAAGTTTATCGCGGTCTCGTACTGAGGAGATAAAGGCCCAGCCTTATGAGAGAAAAGCAAATTGAATCTTAAGACTTTTCAGTGGTTCACATACTGCTGCCTAGTTGTTCTGTATTAATTCTTAGATGAACCCTCAGAAGCTATTACAAGAAAGGTGAAATGCATGCGAGTGGAGAATCCTGAGTTTGCTACTGTTATAACAAATTGTGAGAACAGTACCTGTTGTACCATCTTTGGAGATGGGACATCTATTATAGCAAAGCCACAGGGAACTTATCAGGTGGGAATTATTTTTAGTTTGTAGTAGTGTAATGTCCAAGTGCCATCAGCTTCTCTCACCTTGACTATTTTAACTCCCATTCTGTGGCCTTCCCAATTCCTTTAACTCCATCTCTTTTATACTCTGCTAATATTCAGACATTTGCTCACAACTGTATAGTTTCTCTTTTATTTAAAACCAAATCTTAAATTGCCCTAAGTTACAGAAAATATTGCACAGACTGTCATCAGCCTTTCTCCTGGATCTCATCTTTCTTCTTTTTCTGCCTCCGAACCAGATGCTTTAGTAGTAAAGGTCTGAGAGTTGTCACCATTAAGGACTGAACCTCCTCCCTTTTCACTTTGACAGGTTTTACCCATGAGGAGAGGCTCCCTCTTCATTGATGAAGATTGTTCAGCAGTTTATACCCATGAAGTGTACAATAACAAATTCATCAAGCAAGAAGGGAAGCAAGCAGGGAGTTATGTTATGAAACACACTTCAAGCACTATTTGTGAGATGATGGATCCTGAAGGAAATATTTTCAAGGTAAAATACATAGACGGAAACAAGTTTTCACGTGTTAAGGAATTTTATCTCATAAACATCTTTCAAAGTCAGCTTGTAGGCTTTTGGTACTAATTCCTAAGGCAGTCTGGCTAGCCAGAAGAAGCAGCTCCTGAACCAGCTCTCTGAAATGTTCAAGATTGTGATGGGTCTCAGGATTCCTTCTTTTGATATTTCCATTTCCTTTGGAGTAAATCATACAGGTTGAAATAAAACACATGGTCTACACTTTACCACACCTCATAAAAACACTCTAATCTGCCTGGTAAGACAGTTACTGTTGTAAGAAAGATTCAGTCTTTAAAGTAATACTGGTTGCACTGTGATCCTTTCTCACCTGAGAAAGATATGTTTGCATTAGGCTAGTACTTAGTTTTGAGTTCAAGAAACATTGTCTAGGGGTCTGTGACCTGCATGTTGTTTTCTAATTAAGGGTTATTATTTTTTCATGAGCCAGTAATATTATCCTGTTACGCGGTGTCAAGTAGCATTGTGATTCTAAGTATGACATTCTCAGAGTATCCTTTCTATGGTTGCAATTGTAATCATTGCCATTTTTTCCAGAAATTTTATTTCCTGTGAAATTGCACTCAGACTCCATTGGACTTATGCATCATAATACACTTTCTTAGCTGTTTTCCTAGGCTGGATATACAGTAATTATATAAATCTCTGCTATCTGTTAATCTCTCCCTAATAAATTTTGAACTAATTGACAGAGGGGAAGGCATTTCAAAGATATCAAGTTCCTACAAAATCTGTGCACTACAAATTACACAGAAGTTGCTTGGCATCAATCATAGCACATCCTGCTTTTTCCCAGTCAATACTTAGGGAACAAAAGAAGGAGGCTGAGGAGGCTGTGAGGCAGTTGAAGGGAGCTGTGAAGGCAGCTGTGGGAGAAGCGATGACAGGGGGTATGGGGTGTAGTAAGAAAAGTGAGATTAATGCAGTATGAGGGGATGCTAAGATGAAGAATATCCATAGGAAAAACAACTTTCATTGGTTCTGCCGTTCATGGAGTATCTTGTTAGTTACACATTTCCGTGTTATTTTTGTCTCAAAACCCCGTTTTCATTCAGTGCAAAGATAAGGAGTGCGCTCATGTGATGGAGCAGGTGACCAGGTGGATACGGGGCCAGAGGTACCTCAGGATATACATGGCGTCTGGCCATGTACAGATGTAGTAGGAGGCATCTGGCTGTTGGGTCCTGCCCACCATTACAAACAGCTGTTTTCCAGTTCCTCAAGTCCTATTCTCACTACACATGTACTTACAACCAGGTACAGGTGTAGTAGGATAGGTTCATTCTCTGTCCTAGTGACACCTGAGGCTAAAGCAAAAAGGGTATAGTCTGGATGTGTCAGATTCAGCTCATGATCTGTCCTTTCAATCACTGTGGTCCAAACTGTATCTTCCAAAGGCATCTGTCCTTCAGCTGACAGTATTAAGAAATAGAGACATCATTATTCCTTGGTAGGATATTATTCGTTGTTAGTTATCTTGTGTGTATATGCTAATATGTTAGCTAATAATCACATAGTATTTTCAGAATGGAAAATACTATAGAAATTCAATCAGTATTATCGTGGGACTACCAGGGACCATATTTTTTAAAGTAAATGAATGTCTGAAACAGGCCCACTATATAGATAGATATATGTAGATATCCATGCAAGCATACATATTTGTGTACCTGTATGTACGTATGTATATATATATATGTGGGTGGGTGTGTATATGTGTGTGTCTATAAGTATTTATACATACATATATGCACATATGTACACACCCACATATATATACATACATATATATATATATGTATGTATGTATGTATGTATAAAAAACTCATAGAGTTATATCAGTGGCTGTCTATGTGTGCAGTTACCTGGTCTGACGAGTGACTATATTTTTCTGTGAAGTCGTCTGCTGGTGCTTGCAGATGTATATGTCGAAGATGGAATTTAAACAAGTTTGGCCCTATTTGACAGCTAACAATCCTTGAGCATTTATTAAATATCAGCATGTAATATTAGCATTTCTGATATGACATGTCTTTCTAGAACCATTTGCTTTGTCTTTTTCCTTTCATTGGGCTAGGCCATATTACAGTTCAAAAGCAAGTTGCTGTTTAAAATATATCATGTAACTCAAATCATTTTATATAATTTCTATTATAGGTCATGGCTGATGGCAGGACATCTGTATTTGTTCCTAGCATTGGCTTGGATGACAAGGAAGACAGAAGTTCAGCATCAATATTGCCAGAAATTAATGAACATATCACTTGTGATGAGCATGTCCCCAGGTAAAATGCACCAGCTTCATAGATTTACATTTACTCTTTCTTCACTGCACTGTATTTGCACAGGTTTCATATATTTGCACATTCTTACTCAGTATTTGCACCCTTGATGTCATCATCCTGAAGTTCCATTTTCTCATTATATCATCACAATGCTTTTTCCTATTTGCCATATAGAAAAGAGTGCAACTTGAAAGCCATTGGATTTGATCAGATTTGTATGATGGTTGTCTAGGTTCTTTGTTGTCTATGCTGATGGTTCTGGGACTGAACTCCTTCAAAGCAGGGATGTAGAAGAGTATCTTGCTGAGGCCTGTAGTGATCTAGCTACTGCTGTCTTGCAGGACCCTGTACAAGAAAGTCCAGGTAGGAAACTTTAATTTCTTTTCTGACAAAATAGTAACAGAAAAAGTTACAATGGTGGAGTCAGAACCTTCAAGGCTCTTATTTGGACAGGAAATTTGAGAACAGTTTTCTCCCGTATAGATAGGCTTTGACGCTTCTGGCAGTGAAGGATACGGAAGGAGAAGTGTGTGGAAAAAAGTTCTGGGAAATAGAGAATTAAATGAATGACACTTTGAAGGGGTAAATGAACAGACAACTGGCATATCTGTATCCACTGTTAGACATACAAACAAAAATAATTACCAAATGCATGGGTTCTCTGTGTATTTATTGTCAAAAACCTTGAATGTTTCACAGTCTTCATCTAATGCTCTAGCTGTACTTATGAATGAAGACAGTGATACTCTGATATGGACCCATTGTCTAACTGTTGGAAAAGTTAAATATATGTTATTAGGAAGCTGGAAACCTATAATTGAAGTAGGGGATGCCAGTAAAACATGGAAACAACCGCCTGGTAGTAGCAGTACAAAGAAGTTACATTCTGAAATGGTTATCTTTGTGAAGCTCATTGGAGATACGGTATTCCGTAAGATACACTGTGTAGCAACAATAGATCCTAAACAAAATAAACATATTTTTTAAAATCCAGACAGAGAAACACATGGTTCCCCTGGATGAAGGGGGGTGATGAAGGTAGTCTGCTTTAAGCTACAGGATACTAAAACAGTTTTCTTCAAAGTTTGCTATCATAAGCATGGGGAAGGGCTTTCCCACCTATCCCCCTCTCAGGTTTTACATGTTTTTAAATGCTGCTTCTATTCATGACAATGAAAGAAAGAAAACCTGCTGGCCACCATCAGTCATTTGTCATAGTAGCACTCCAATATTGCCCCCAAGGAAAATGACTCTCATTCAAGTATTTATATCACAGCTTAAAGGAAAGATAAACGAATAGTAACAGGTCCCACAGGTTTTTCTTGCACCCTGTTATTAGGATGCTTTTACAGACTTCATACTTCACCTTTCTCAATACTGGCTCTATTTGTCTTGACAGCAAGTTTTTGCAATTTTGCATCATTGTGACAAAGCATCTCAGTGGTGATATCAACTTCTGAGTCCACGTATGGGGTAGATAATAGAGGATTAAGTGGACTTCTGGTTTGCTTTTGATTTGAGCTGGAAAAAATGTTTTGAGGAACATTAAAATTGATCAAAACAATAAAAGGAGACAATAATTAATTGAATCCATTCGGTGATCTGATTCTGAAGTATAAAATACAGTGAAAATCTATGCTTGTTTTAAATAGGAAGGATATCTTACTGAAAGTAGTATTCAGTAAACATAGGTCTATGGTCTACCCTATATTGCTTGGGATATTCTGGACACAAGTGAGATGTTACCCAAGACTCCAAGCAAGTAGCAAATGCAGTTTATTGTGGAACACAGTTTGGGTAATCCAAAGTTATCCAACTATTATGTGATTGCCTCAGTGATCCAGTATTATCTGTAGCCACCAGTGTCACATTTGCACATTTTTTATCACTTGATAATAAGTTTCTTTACACTTAAATAAACATATTTTTCTGGAGTTCTGAGACACATATCCATCATTTTTTGATTCAGACTGGTTCTTACCAAAATGTTTCTTTGAACCAGGTGTTTTAAGTATTACTATCCTCCGCCCTTTGGTTGAAGCCTCCCCCTGGATAATGAATAAAGAACCGGAGAGTATTATTCCTCCAAATCTTCAGTCAAGGAGCTGGGATACGTTTTCTCCTTTTGAGGTATAATTGCTTGAAAACAATCTTTTGCTGCTTAAGCTATAGATGTTTGTCATGGGGGAAAAAGGAACACCAAACAGTGTGAGACTGCTAAATTCAATTTATTAAGTGGACCAAGCAAGGGATAGCCTGTGTCAGGGAAAAATTCTCACTTACACACATTCACATACTTGCTTGAACACACATGGGCACACAAACACACACACACACATACACATACCATCAGCTGAGACCACTCTGGTTACCACTCCAGGAAGATGGCACACTTAAGCAATGGGGAACTTGACACTCCCTTCAACCGGTCTTAGTGTTGAGCTCTTGGGTGGCGGATCAGCTGCACCACCTAATAGTTCTACCTCAGGCTTCTATGCCCTGTCAGATGTCCACATAACAATACCCCCACCCCAGTCTCTAGCACCAGAGGTCTTTATAGCCAAATGTCTACAGGCTGCCAGTCAGATCACTCCCTAATGATACCATGCTATATCTTTCCAGCAATTTCAGGTATTATTCTCCTGCCTGCTATTGATCCATAGCTCATACCAAGGGTCACAATGGTTGGTTCTTGTTTGCATTGTCCTATCAGCATGGTTTATTTTACACAGTTCCTATTTGCGTTTTTCTCAGCTTTTGGTCAAGGTCAGGCCATGATACTTGCATGTCAATGTTACTTAAGGTTCATATTTATCATGCATGTTTATCACATTATAGGTTAATAGATCATTAATCCATTAGAGATTATGGTGACTGATTAGTCTGATGCCCTTCATAGTATTGGCTACATCATTGTTAGTTTCCATCTGAGAATTTTCAAATCTCTTTGCAGCTGATTCCATTAAATTCAAAACTTCCTAGCGAAGTAAGTAAGTTACATTCCAGACTTCTAGATACAACACTGAAGCACAGAATGTGGTGAAATAGCACAGGTTACATGAGTCTCACTGCGCAGTTTATTCTAGATAGACATGAGTTCACTTTCCTGCAACCTGAAGATGTAGGACATGATCAGATCCAATTCAGAAGCCTTATGATTACTTTCAAAGGATTTATTAACTTGTGCTTACTCTATGTTAATGCAAGCACAAGATGTTGGACCAGTTGTCTTGCATCTTGATAGTTTGGAATGTTTCACTGCAAAGATCACATAGACAAACCCCCAGTGAGCTGGTGTTTCTAGACGGGAACTGGAAACCCAACTCTTATCTCACAAATCTCTTATCTCAGTTATAAAATCATCCTTATTCTTTAAAATCATGAAGAAGGCGTTATTCTTAGAAAATATTATTGGATTAAGTGAGAGCAAATTATATTAACCGGATTTAACTAAATAAACACAGGGCATGCAGGATGGAGTTCACTCAAAATGCAATCAGCTTAGGTTCTTTTAGGCTCAGTGAGGTGATGAAGCAATTTTAGGGGGAGTTAATCTTGCCAAATGAAGGGGTTTTAGGATGGATAAATTGTGCCCAAGATCCTACTGACCCTATTGTCTAGATCTGCACTGCTGTAAAGGAAGCATGTGTTTATCAGCTGGGACAGGAAGCCTATCCAGTTTGTTTACTATCCACTGGTTAGTGTTTCCAGTTACATTTTATACCTGTATGCATAACCAGCAACCGAGACTCTAAACATATCTCTCAGTATTTGGGTAGAAATTTTACATTCCAGGAGTCATCTGTTTTCCAGAATAACCACAACATGAGCGCATTCGATATAAATTCAGTAAGTTCCTTGATTCCAGTCCTGAATGCAGTGAACTTTTTTTCACTCAGGATACAATTCATATTTTGTCAGCTGGATGTAGATACATAGACAGCTCTCTGACAAGTCACTAATAAAAGTAGCCTCTTACTGTTTTGGCTTGTTCTTCTTTATGTTCAGAGGAAGATCACAGGTCCCCCAGGCAGAACACATACTTGGAAGGGTCTCTGCATTGGATCCAAAGAGCAGACCTGCTTGCCAATACCTGTGCGAAAATGTCCTAATAAACTGCAAATCCGTCAGCTGTTCCAGTATGAGCCACTGTGCGATGAACTAAGAGAAAAGCTGCAGCTTTCCCTCAAGGTAGTACAATCACAGTTACTTTATTCTTCCAGTGAACAGTAGAGAACAGACAAAGGGAGTGGTATGAATTTGCAATATATGCTTGAGATGAGACCTCTAACACGTTTGAAGTTTAATCTCCATTTCATACCCAGACAAGTGCGCTGAGAAAAATGTATTTCTGAAGCAGTTCAACTCTTTTCCCCCAGTCCCTTCTGGAACAGACCTTCCTGTGCAAGTACATGCAATACACAGTCCAGTACCCATCACAGATGGTGCACTAAAAAATAGTTTTCTTTTTGTCAATATCTATTACTTTGCTCTTACTTTGCTCAGGGTTTGTTTTTCTACCCAGAGCCTTAGAAAGCTAGCTCTATAAAGCTATACAAGAATTTCTAAACCACCATAAATTCTACAGTTAACTTCAGTGACTAGGTCACTGAAACACACTGTAGTCTTTGTTATGTATCAGGTCCATAGATCAGTACAGTACGTTTCCAGGTTCTGCAGAGATGCATCTCCGAAATGATGTTTTGTCAGGTTAGGTATGTCTCACTTTACACATATTAAGTATATCCTCACTCAGCAAATGAGCAACAAAGCACTGAGAAAAATGCCAAGAGGAAAATGTAGGTTTCTTCAAAGCAAAGAAGCTTAAACAGAACTGACTTTATCTCAGTTTCTGATGTGACTGATTTTGTTAGAGCTCTTACACCTGGATTCTGGAGCAGCAGGCCTTTCTGCAGCGTGCAAAGCTCTTGAGGGCATGACATTTTGAAGAACAGTCTGCGGTTTACCAGCCTCAGTCAATGTTCCACAGAGAAGACAGGGATGCTCATTAAATAGTCTCTGAACTAGGGGAAAGGAAAACCCAAGAGACAGTAATATGTAGCTTCTTCTCTACTTCATATTTCTGTTTACTTCAGTTTGAGAAATAAACTAGGAAGTTGCTCAGGATGCTGTAGGCAGAGCTGAGACTTGAATGCAGGTCTGCAGTATAACATACCATAGCTTCCACCCACATTGTTTCCCACTGTCCTTCTCATTGGGAGAATTGGGCTTTCACATATGTAACTGCCTATAGTGTTCTGCCACAGCTAGCAATAAAAACTTGAATTTCTAAGTTCTGTCACTCTATTGATGTCTAGCAAATAGCTGTGTAGTGTTCTGCCAAAGTGTGTGTCTGTGCCTTGTTAGTTACTGGTTCATAAAAAAGTGCAAGTTACCTCTCACGTATAAGCGTGCTGAGACAGGACCTGAAAGTTCTGTTGTTGATTTATGTCAGCGGCTTCCTCCTTCATTTCTCAGTTGTGGTATAAAACATTGATTTATTTAATTCACACTGTGAAAATGTTCTTAGAACAGATTTTAGAGTTAAAAACTCATTATTATCTACCAAATAGGGAATAACAAAATACGTATGCTCTATAATTTAGTTATTTAATGTATAGCTTGATGATGGCATTACAGACTGATAAATTTGAAAGCCAATAGCATGTGACATCTGTGCAGCAAATAGCATGTTGTAACTGGTTAGAATTTTTTCACATCACATTTCAAAGAAAGCCTGTTTGCGATAGAAAAACACTGACAACTTTTCAGCCCTGGCATGGTTTGGGACATGTCAGTCCATCAGGATGAAATTTTACTCTTTCACAGTCTAGAAATATATAAAAATGACTCTTCAGTTCACATACTGATCTTTCAAGGGCAAGAGTCATTTAAAGTTTCACATCAAAATCCCGAGTCTCCACATTTACTAGATCTGTAGTTGTCTGTTAGAGAAAGGAGGACTCTTTTTGTTACATTTGGAAAGAAGAATTGCAGTTATTGGCATGCAAGAGACATTTGTAAGAATTACATTAATCTGCAGTGAATATATCCTTATTGCTTGCATATCAATATCTATTCTATGGATTTTTCCAGAAACAGGCATCTTAAAATTTAAGCTGAGCACTCTGTTTGCCAGAATTAAATCAAGATCTAAAGAAAAGGCCATTCTTCATTTCTCCATCTCCTTTAAAATTTAAGAGATATGAAGGAATGAAATAGAACTGGAACTGGGTCGCTTATGTGAACGTTGTCTATTCATAAAGCTCTGTATTGCATATACCTGTTTAGCAGGGTGGGGTGTTAGGGCAACCCTCTGTCTGTGAGCCTTTTTGCCATCTGAATTTCTGAAGCACGATGGAGTGTGGAAGAAAGAAAAGCGTCCTTTTCTTCAGTGCTCAGTGTGGTTCTGGCAAAGTAAACTTCTGAAAATAGAGCTTCAAACTCTTTTCTGAGCCTAGTTTTTCAACTTTAATGTTGTAGATTTCGTTTTCCCTAATTGGGGATCAAGTGGGAAGGAGACACAGATCACAACCACTACTTCTTAGAGCACCTTTTATTCATTAAGCTGGTATTCAGTATTAATAATAAAATCAAACTATTACTATTCATAGCAATTAGCTTTCAGTCAAAACATATCTTTATTCACTCACAGTTTACTAACACACTTGCACACTCACGCATGCTTGCCTGGTTGGTGCAGCAGTTGGGAGGCCAGTCCTGACTGCATGCTCAGAAGCAGGGGGTCAGTCATGCTCCAGAGGCTTCTGGGGATCTGCTCTAGGGCAGTCACCGTCCTCTTGGACGTGGTCCAAAGTTGCCCAGCTCGTTGTGGATGCTGGTGCGTGCTAGTGGCGTGGTAGAGATTCAGCAAACTCTTGATGTCCTCAGTTCATCAGTTCTTGCAGATTCAATAGGATTGCTAGTCTTCAAAGCTGATTAGTCCTTGGCAAACTTTCATATGCTACTTTCTCAGCATGTACTTCTCTCTTTGACCTGCTGTTTTTTTTGTAATTATTTCTCCATGTGACCCTTTAGATATCTATATAACCCATTCACAGAAATTCACACAGAAGGGGCCTTTATGACATTGAGAACTATACAGATCTATTATTACCACAGATTCTTTTCTCTGTGTATATGTCCATTAAGTTTGCCTTTGCAAAGCAAATATTTGCATCTTTTCTGTTCTTTCTCCATTCATTGCTACACCAGGAATACATAGACATCATTTTGAAGCAGGAAAATGAGCTGCAAGAGATGAATGTAAAAGAACCAAGAGCAGAAAAGGAAAAGGAGAAGGCTGCAGAGCTCCTTGAACGAGTCATGGTGAGAAAAAATAATTTTTACGTGCTTCTTTTCAACAGTTACATTCCATTGCATTGCAAGCGTCATCCTTAAAACACATTATCCATTCATAAAATAGCAAATGTTAGGATAGCAGAATGCCAGCTCTGCTGTAATTTAATGGTAAAGCAGAGAAGTGCTCGGCATTTAACTTGGCTAGTGAATGGCACTACTGCCGTACTGGAGAAAAAATACTGAAAAGAACTTTTAAATTTCGTCACCTTGCATTATGTAAATTCACACTCTAGATTTTTAATAGTTATTAAACATTATTTTCTTTTTTTTGTCTCTCATAGGAAACACTTTTACTCCTATTTAAATAAATAACAAGCATATAGGAAACTCAAACATACTGAATTTAAAATCTGGCATTTGAAAAATAAGATCTAGCCCTTTTAATTTAAATATTCACTGCTAGATGATCTATCCATCTTTCAAAAGTGAGTGTATTGTAGCGAACAAACATTATTCTAGGCTTAGAGTCTACCTGTTCACGTTGTCTCAACATGCAAAGCACTAGACAGGAAATCTTTCCAGTCATTAATGCTGTTAATTTCCTTTTCCTAGCTTTCTAGATAGAGCTATAACTTTATTAGTTTTTCCTTACAAGCTTAAAAAAAAAGTAATTCCAGAATTTCCCTTTGAACTTTTTAGGCAAGTTGGCATTTTCGTTCACTGACTGAAACTAAAGCATATTTTTAATATTAAAAGCTTTCATTTATATTTTTTCTCAGTGCTTTCAAGTCACATACAAGTTTTAAAAAGGGAGTAGAGAGTGGAGAAAATAAATATCTAGCAAAAAAGCGGGAAGGAACTCACATCCCTTCTGGAAAGAGGAACCCTGTGAAGTAATTTATCAGTGTCTTGCTGTACCTCTATCTTCTAGGCAGACACCTCATTGCTTTAATGAAATACAAGTGCTAAATCTCACTTATTGCTTCCTTCCAATGGACTTGTCTAGTGACTAATTATTGTTTGTTGTCGTAGCTTCCTTGAGCACATTTCCAGGTGCAGATTTCACATTGAACAACTTTTTCTGGGCAGCAGAATCCCACTGTGGATCTTCCATGACACAGGAATCAGTATCACACTCTTCCCAAGCCTCCACTATTCCCTAGCTCTGCCACAACCACAGAGAGCCTGGTCACAGGGACACTGGTTGCTGATTAACTGTTTCAGGGACAGCATGACAATAAAGCAAGAAAAATACAGCTGAGTGAAAGAGTCTCTTACCCCTCAGATACTTTATTGTAAACCAACCACAAGAGAGCTCCTTACCAATGAAACTTACATATTGCTGAACACATTTCCCATGTGCCTTCTTGTCATGCCAATGAATTTTAGAATTGGTTCAAATCCTTTGTGGAAGGACTCGTCCTTCAAAATCTTCCATATAGTATTATGAAATAGCTGAGTTGATTTAAAAAGCAACAACCATTTAAAATGCAAAGTTATCTGTGAAGTCAGTGGCCAAGAAGGAAACAAATATATGTTTAGACTAAGGAATTTCTAAATCATTTCTATTTTTCCCAGCTCATATTTTGTCACTCACCGAAATTCTCCCAGTCTTGTAGTCACATTTTCAAGTAACAAAAGAGCACTTAGGATGGAAGTCTTTTGAACAGGTTGGTGGCTTTGCAAGGTCTGTTTCTCACATGTAAAAGAACCATGTCATGGTAATTCTTTCTTCATTGCAGTCCTTCCCTAACTTGGAGAAGTCATCCAAAGATCTCAGCACAAGAGGTAATAGCAATAGAATGACTATCTTTTAAAATTGTAAAATACAATACTATACAGTAAAGTACTGCACTACTCTTTTTAAAGAAGGAACATAAATGTGAAATTATCTGTGTGTTAGGTACGTGCCTGTCTCTTCTGTTCCTGATACTTTTCTTACATATGTGATATGTCCATTCTATAAAATGTTGTAAATTAAAAACTGTCAACTAACTTATGAGAACAGAGGTGTCACTCAACTATTTAAATATTTCTCAGTTTCACTAAAGAACTTGAATGGTAAGTACTACCTATCTTCAGAAAACAAGTATTCCGGAACAGTTGCATCAGGAACTGAAAGTGAATGAATGGCATGAATTTCACAGGTGATTGGAATTTGTTAGCTTCAGTGATATAGTACCTCTAAAAACCATTTACTTAATTGCCTATTTTAGGCATGTGTGTTTGTCATTTTGACCCAGGTTTCCACATGTATAGAATCTTCTCAGGTATGACAACTGTGGCCGCAGCTCTGTGTGGTTAGATTTATACAAATATCAACACGTCAGATGTGTTTTTCAAAGTAACTGGATAGCTCCTGGTTGTTTATTACATTTGAAAATCCGGTCTCAAACAATCATATGTTTTGGTGTTTACATCAATCTTGCCTCAGGGAAAAGATGAAACAATGTATTCGTCTTTCCTTACAACTTTCTGTAAAAGTTAAAAATATGATACTTGCTAGCATTTATTAATGTTTTCAGTAGGTACAAATAGAAATTAAGAAAGTTGTTTCTTTATTTAAAATATCAATTGAATTTTTCCATAGAAAAATCCATAGTATTCAATCCCCTAGCGATGCTAGCCTTTAAGAGTGTTATTTTTCATCTCCTCCCACCTATCCAAGAGTATTTCTATTTCTTACAAAAATACCAGACCACACTGTCCAGTGTAAACGGGAACTGCAGCAACAAATGCTTGCTACACAGTTTCCTGATTTAAAAAATAATAATTAAAATGGAGTTGCATTTGTAACATAGCTTTATTAACGAAGAAGACAGTGTAGAAGAGAAGCTTTTAAACAGATGCAAAGATAGAAAAAGCAGGAAAACAAAAGTATATGTTATGGTGAAAAAGTTAACCAAAAAAGATCAAATTTTGAAATTTAAAATTACAATATTTCTGAAACACTAAGAGATGCTGTCATAATCAAACTGGATTATATCTCTCAAATCTCCTAAGTTTTGCCACAGATGTATCTTTTGAACCATGGAAATTCCTTTGAACTCAAAGTTTAGATGCAAGGTGTGAAGTAGCACATTTTATAGAAGATGTCACAGAACAGAGAAACTATTAAAAACCTAAAGATTGTCACAATCTTACATATGGAAAAATTGGCTTCTCTCCATTGTACATATTGAAGCAGTTCCTTCCATGAGAATGTTGATTATGGCTGCTTCACAGCCACAGTTAGGCACAACTTAAGTAAACTGATAGTAATAAAGATCCCTGAAAGCATACCTTATTTTCTTCAGCTGCAGAGGGAGGGCTGCAATGTTGCTCCCAGTGGAAAAGTGGTTGAATGTCAGCAATTCTTCCTCTTCACAAGTACTTGATTTGTTTCTTAATATAAAGATATTTCAGGTAATACAGGGTAGGGATATGTATTTAATCTGCTTCTGTTTATTTTTCCAATGAATTGAATTAATTTCCTTTCTGTTGATAGGAATCAAATCCTACATTTGATTTTGGAATGTCCTTTCTGCCTCTTACCTCACAGTAATAAAGAGTCTGTAATCAGCTGATTGTCCTTAAAACAGAGAAGGGTCCAGTTCTCTCTTTCATTGGCTCTGCACTACTACCATGGCAATAAATCTTTAATTTGATTGATTGAAAATACAGAGATCCAATTAGTAAGGGCTATTTATATCTTTACCATTTTTAAACTATAGCTTTCAATCAAGTGACAGAAAAATGCATTAAAAATATCCTTCTATTTTTATTATTCTTAACACTTACCAGTGCTTAATTGAACATGCATATTCAGGATTAATCCTCTGCCTTTACCTTACAGCTCACGTAGCCGAGTTATATGAACAGGCAGTGGCTTTTCAGTTCCAGTGCCCCACAGGGAACACAGTCTCTAAGCAGCCAAAGGACCACTGGCAGATGTTCAGGTAGGACAGTCCAGTGAGAACAGATGTAAATGTAAATAATGCAAAGGATGGAAATAAGTACACACGAGAGGCAATGTACTTTGCTAACTGTCATTAAGAACAAGGACCTAGCTCTCTAGATACATTTCACAATGTTTTACTAGCTTTCCCTATGATTTTTTTTTATCTCCTCATGCCTCTCTTTCCTTATCTCAAAGATACTTTAAAGTTGGTTGGAAAAAGGGCTTGAGATTTTTTGTGGGGGGGAGCTGAACAATATAATAAAAATACAGATGTGAGTGAACAATTTTGCAGCAAAACATATGAATCTAAGTCAGAAGTCATTAAAGATATTAATATAACATACTTTCATAAGTATTTTTTGTTCCACGGTTATCTTGGAAAATATTTTGGGGCTTATAAAATATGATGCTGCTTTTCTCATTGTCATTACTTTTTTCCTTTACTGCTCATTCAGCGCAGAAGGACTAACCCCAATGTCTAAGTGGCAGAGCAGACTAGAAGAGCACAGGTACAGTATTACTATGCCAGAACATTAAAGTTAATTCTTTTAAGAGCCAATTAAAAGAATACTGCTATTGGGTGAGGGTTCTTGGGTGGTGTTCTTCTGGTTCACTTATAAATAATGTTCTCTCTCAATAGAAATGTGGAATGAATGGTTTAAATCATATTTTGTCAAAACTTAGGAAGGCAGTTGTAACTTCTGCTAATTAAAACAAGGCTGAAGTCAGAAATCCTGTGTTGTTCTCTGACTGTGCTACCAATGTGGACAATAATACATTAATATTTTCAAATGTTGATGCTTCAGGTTAAGAATCTGGTATTCTAAAAATCTTAGCTGTATTTTTAGCATGAGCAGTCTATATAGGACCCCAGACATATATGTCAGTCATGTGATGATGCTTCAAAGGCAGATAAGGTGCACAAAATTGGCTGGACCAGGCATTAAATGCTGGGGCTGGACCACATTTACAAAAGTTCATTGTGGATTTCATTAGACAGTGCAGGACACACTCACAGTGTCCATCTTGCAAAAGCAGCTGCATTGCCCAAGAGCTTATAAGGTAGAGGAAGGGCGTTTTAGAAGGTAGAAAATGTGGACAGCTGGTAAACCCAGCTTCAAGCATTTCTGTGAGGTCCATCTTAAAAAAAATCAATGGGTTCCTAAAATAAGGTCTATTTTACCATGTTTGAATGTTCTAGTTTGGAAATCGCCTATATCTCAATTTCCTGTTTGTAAAATATTTCTCTCCTATTGGATTTCTGAAGCATGTGCTAAAAGATTCAGATTACAAATGCTTTTACAGAAAGAACAGCATGTATGTATGTGTATATACATGTATATAAAAATATAAAAATCTTTGTAGCAGTGAAATTTGTATTTAAGGCAGAACCTCAGCTTTAATTCTAGCCTCCTTTATTTTACTTTCTCTCAAGTATTTCAAAAATTGTCGTTCATTTCTCTGATGAATGGGTGAAGCTATCTGAAAAGTCTGAGAAAATATAGAAAGAAAAAGTATTTGAAATGGCACATATCACTAAAAATGTACATTTCACAAGCTATCAATCAGACAGAGGACAGGTGCCACACAAAAACTTAAATTAAGCTTTATACTTTCAAACCATTGTTATTTTCAGTTCTAGAGGGAAGGGTATTGTGAATATGACAGAATGGCGAATTGCTCGGTTTGCACAAGCCTGACCTTTTAAAGAATTAAAAAATATGCATTTAATTCATGTTGAAACAGAAAACCTAACTTGTGAACAAGGATTAACATAGAGAAAGATCCATGAATTCACAATAAACTTAAATAATTATATTGAAAGTTATGTAGGTCATTCACTATTTATCAGAATATACAGAATAACTGGAAATGGTGATGAAGTAATACTACCGTTGGAAACTTTTGCTTTTTCTTTCTTGTTTTTGTGAAGATTAAATAGCAGCTGAAAGCTAAGCTATCTTTCATGGTGCCAGAACTGCTTTTTAGTTACTTTGTAACAGGCTTACATTAAATACAAAAAACTTTTAGATCTATAATTTCAGACTTATATTTTAAAACGACATTTACATTTTTTTGCATATTCCATAAAGCGTAACTTTGAATGTATATATCTGAGTACGCACCACCCAAGAGCACAGTGTGTAATCCTGGCTCTGAAGTCAGTGTCAAAACTCTCATTACGATCAAGAGTGAGGAGTTCATAGCTCTTATTAGATCCTACAAGTCAATGAAACTATTAAATTAGTATAAACCTGGTCTAAATCAAGCTGAAACCGTAACCAATCTTTAGCAGTCTGAAAAACAATTATGAGAGCATTCTGGTGAATGTTATCTTCAGGAACTTGGACAAATTTCTGGGTAGCCACAGAGCCACCAAGTTTCTCTATGAAAAAATAAGGAATTTAGGTTCACTTTGTATTACAAATTTTAGCTGTCACAGTGCATCTAAAATAGTGATCTTCAGATTTGGGAGCTTGTTTGAAAGTTGGAAAGATGCTATCGGCAGTCTCAGACATGTTCAGCAAGATCTAGAGAACCAGAGCAAGTTTTGAGAAGGAGCTCTTCATAGCAGCCATTCCACAGTTTATATGCATTCTGATCAGGCCCTCCATAAATCAGTGTCTGAAGAGGAGTCTGTCTCTGCGGGCCAGGCCAGTGTGTTC